GTCTCTTAAGCTCGTCGACTTTGCATGTGGTTGATTTGTAAAATATTTGCATATTTGCTTACTGCGTATTTGCGAAACTTCTGTGCCGCGTCAGACAACAAATAAGCACTTACTATTGAAAGCAATATATGTGAGTGGCGAAAGCTACCGATAGAGCAGGACATGCTTACCCTTTTCGCGAACACCTGGTGTCATCACTAATTTTCAGTGATCAATTCATAAAATTGACACAACTATTTTCCTTTCTAGCAATACCTTGTTTCTGCAAATATCCCTCTTAAGTAAACGACTGTAAAATACGACCGTCTCTCGATCCCTTCGAGAGATGTTCCATGTTAATCTACGTTTGGTGTTGTTGCGACCAGAAACCAGTGTGCCATATGTATTAATGATAACTCACATTAATGTTAAGTCTCTATCATAGTTAATTCTAAGCTTCTTACAAACACAGTCCCGTGAAGATTAACGGTCTTAGAATTGGTCTTCAGCAACCCATTCTTGTCGTAAGATGCGACTAACGGGATCGGGTGGTCAGGCTTGCTGACTTGGTTGATGCCTAACCTAATTGTGTAGATCGATGCTCTTGATGTCAATCACTGGATTGTCTGATCCAGATCTCGTTAATTCACAGACAGTCGCCATATAGCTGGAATATTGCTGACTACAGCGTTTAACAACAAACATACAAAACAGACCCATCTAATCTCCACCTATCCAATCATCTGGTCTAGTCCGCCCCCACCCACCCACCCCCACCTCTCCCCGCCCCATCCCCCGACCCCCACCATTTCCATACCATTCCATCCAGGGCTATTACCTTCCCAACTCCCACCCTCACCACGTCCGATCACCCAATTACCGCACTAGTACTGATTCCCATCAACCTATACTGGTCGCAAGGGTCCAGCATGGTGACATGATTAAATGTTGCTCATAATATCAATCACTGGTTTGTCGATTATTAACAGACATAGCGAGCGAGTGAATGAGTATTCGTATAGCAATATTCCAGCAATATCATGGCGGGGAACACCAGAAATGGACTTCACACATTGTACCTATGTCTTCGGCGTGACGAGCGAACGCCTCTTAACAGGCATAGCATACAGCTTGCCACTGTTCACAAAACCACTATAGCGCTACGAATATCTATAACTTCTATACTATAACACTGACTGCGTTACGAATGGTGCTCCGTTAAACAGCAAACAAAGGAATACACAGAACGAAATAAGCGAATGATCTGTATCGACCGAACGCACCAGTCTTATAAAGACTTGAAACAATTCCATTAGTATGGTGTAACAAGCACGCAGCTACAGCATTCGGGCACCCTCAGGCCGAATCGGAACTGGTCGGGGAAATATTTGCACATTGTAATGGTATGTTTTCTTTGCATGTGAACCGGTCATTTCTCTTCAAGTGGAATCACATAAGCTATAGGGTCAATACTTTTTATTGCCACCCGCAAGCTGGTGTGTTCCCGTGGAATAAGTTATTCGCTGCTTGTATTTCATTAGGGGTAGAATCACACGGAGCTGATACCCTGGACGTTGTAGGATTGCAATGTGGCTGCTCCATGGTAAATATTTTTTTCGTTTTCATTGATAACTGATGCGATCTATGCGTTAAGTTTGTATTTGTTTGTTTCCATACTACTTGAAGAGATTCCTATTTTTTCTTCAAGAATGGTCATTATGTGGCAAACTTTGTGAACTATATACCAGTTCACTGGTGACTGCATGTTGTCATGGAAACATGCAGATGAGTCGTAAAGTTTGTATGTCGTGATGTCTGGAGTGTCATCAGGATATGGTCGTTTGTAACCTGAGCTTATTTGTAGGCTTGTTCTTGATTCTCGTTGTAACGTCATTTGCAGTTTTGACATTGAGTGTATGACGTTAGTCAACAACATCAAAGCAATATCGCAGCGACCTGTGAATAATCGAATTTGGACGAGACAAAACAAATGGTTGATAGTGTGAGCAACTCTCCACTTCATCGAGAACCGCGACACACCATCAAGTACCATGACACACCATCAAGAACCGTGACACACCATCAAGTACCGTGACACGCCATCAAGTACCATGACACATCATCAACTACCACGACACACCAACCATCACGTACCATGACACACCATCGAGGTCTATGACACACCATCAAGTACCGTGACACACCATCAAGTACCATATGACACACCATCAAGTACCATGACACACCATCAAGTACCGTGACACACCATCAAGTACCGTGACGCACAATCGAGAACCACGACACACCATCAAGTACCATGAAACACCATCAAGTGCCATGACACACCATCAAGTACAACGACACACCATCGAGTACCGTGACACACCATCGAGTACCGTGACACACCATCGAGTTCCATGACACACCATCAAGTACCATGACACACCATCAAGTACCATGACACACCATCAAGTACCATGACACACCATCGAGTTCCATGACACACCATCGAGTACCATGACACACCATCTACTTCCATGACACACCATCGAGTACCGTGACACACCATCGAGTACCATGACACACCATCGAGTTCCATGACACACCATCGAGTACCATGACACACCATCTACTTCCATGACACACCATCGAGTACCGTGACACACCATCGAGTACCATGACACACCATCGAGTTCCATGACACACCATCGAGTACCGTGACACACCATCGAGTACCGTGACACACCATCGAGTACCATGACACACCATCGAGTTCCATGACACACCATCGAGTACCACGACACACCATCGAGTACCATGACACACCATCAAGTACCACGACACACCATCGAGTACCATGACACACCATCGAGTTCCATGACACACCATCGAGTACCATGACACACCATCTACTTCCATGACACACCATCGAGTACCACGAAACACCATCGAGTACCATGAAACACCATCAAGTGCCATGACACACCATCAAGTACCGTGACACACCATCGAGTACCATGACACACCATCGAGTTCCATGACACACCATCTACTTCCATGACACACCATCGAGTACCATGAAACACCAACAAGTGCCATGACACACCATCAAGTACCGTGACACACCATCGAGTACCGTGACACACCATCGAGTACCGTGACACACCATCGAGTACCGTGACACACCATCGAGTACCGTGACACACCATCGAGTTCCATGACACACCATCAAGTACCATGACACACCATCAAGTACCATGACACACCATCGAGTTCCATGACACACCATCAAGTACCATGACACACCATCGAGTTCCATGACACACCATCAAGTACCATGACACACCATCAAGTACCATGACACACCATCTACTTCCATGACACACCATCAAGTACCATGACACACCATCGAGTTCCATGACACACCATCAAGTACCATGACACACCATCGAGTACCATGACACACCATCGAGTACCACGACACACCATCGAGTACCATGACACACAATCGAGTTCCATGACACACCATCAAGTACCATGACACACCATCAAGTAAAACGACACACCATCGAGTACCATGACACACCATCGAGTACCATGACACACCATCGAGTACCATGAAACACCATCAAGTGCCATGACACACCATCAAGTACCGTGACACACCATCGAGTACCATGACACACCATCGAGTTCCATGACACACCATCTACTTCCATGACACACCATTGAGTACCATGAAACACCAACAAGTGCCATGACACACCATCAAGTACCGTGACACACCATCGAGTACCGTGACACACCATCGAGTACCATGAAACACCAACAAGTGCCATGACACACCATCAAGTACCGTGACACACCATCGAGTACCATGACACACCAACGAGTACCATGACACACCATCAAGTACCACGACACACCATCGAGTTCCATGACACACCATCTACTTCCATGACACACCATCGAGTACCATGAAACACCATCAAGTGCCATGACACACCATCAAGTGCCATGACACACCATCAAGTACCGTGACACACCATCGAGTACTGTGACACACCATCGAGTACTGTGACACACCATCGCGGCCCATGGCACTTCATCAGCCAGGTCACGAACCCTAGCATAGGAGATTGCTCATAAATTATGTTCGATGGTATCCGTAAATTCGACATGTGACGGATAGTTCAGAAGCACTGATGTTCTTTCTTTGCTTTTGAAAAAAACACATATTTCTTTAGTCATACTTGCTAAATGAGAATCAATGCTAATATTTCGAAGATTGTTAAAGCGTACTGTGGAAATAGTTACCAAAATTGTTTTGGGGATGTCAGCAGTTGAATATGTGGTAGCTAGAACTGTGGCTAAATACAACACGCACACTGCCACAGGGAAGACTTGATTGTTTGTGTGTACGTCGACTAAAGGCAGTACATGACCAATGACATCCGTGACCAACTCGTGTTATTCCGGGACAAGCCGAATAGCGACTTCTTCCCCTCGCGTGGCCATTTTTGCGACCGGGCTCCGTCTTTGCGCAAACGGGCATAGCTAAAACAATTGTCAACTCGTTGCGTAATGGATCACATATATTTCCCCATATGTTATACATATTTCAGATGCAATTTAAAGCACATCGGAACATGCGGAATTATACAGTATGATTGAACACATTTAACCGTGTCTTGGGTATATTTTTAGAAGCAAGACATATAAACTCACAAATTATTTCTGAGGGATTCTTTGACGAAGAACTTGAAATCATACGCGCATTCTGATTGGTTTGTCGTATTTTCGCACATAACATTCATCGATAGGGGGACGAGCAGGTTGCGGAAAGGGGCGAGTGGTGACGAATGACGAATTTAACGTTAATATTAATATTCCGGTATTTTGTGTCATTCCTGTCCGTACCGTTTCAGTGGTAATATGGTTTCAGGGTGAAGTATTGTCAACCCAAATATCAGGAATGTATTTGAAACATTATTCTTACAATATATATTCGTCTTTTTCAGGTGTCTCGCTAGGTAACAAGTATTATGTCTGGCCGGAAGTACGGGAGCGATAAAGAGGTAGCGGCCGTGACCTTCAACATGAAAGAACAGCGATGTCTTGAGAAATCCCTACAAACCCTGACTCTAGAGAAAACATACTCGCTCAAGCTCCTCGACCTTGACCACAGAATCATTAAGGTCAACTATCGGCGTCTGAAGGACAAGGTATCCCGGATCAAGTCCAACCTATCGGCTGACGAAATTTCAGATCTACGACAACTTGAAGCAGACGGTAAACTGCGACCGGCGTACAACTCGGTGAACATCAGTGGAGCTTTAAAAATTGCCGCAGCGTCGAGGAGGCTTAAATTTCAGAGGCCTTTACGAGACCGAGCCTCCAGTGCCCATCCTCGTCTCACAGGGCGCCATGAAGGCCACATTCATGCTCCTCCATCTTTACCCGGTCTGTGTAGGAGTAATTCAGTCACCGGCGTGTTCATCGATGCCCCTGCCTCTGACGTCACGAGGCGGAGAATGTCTGCTGACGTGATTCCTAACAATGACAAGCTGAGACCTTTAAGTGCCTTCACAATCGGCCAATCAAACGTTCATGAAAGAAATGGCGATGGGTTGAATAAAAGACCAGCGACATCGTCGTGCGTAGGTTTTGACAAGGCTAAGCTCAATGTCTCCCGACCTACGACTGGTGTGTCGTGTAACAGCATTTCTCACGGACACACACATTCCCCCTTTTCTTCTCACTCCCAGGCAGAAAAAGATGCCCGTGCACCCTCAGCCTCTCTCAATCGCCGTCCTAGTAGGGAGTTAAAATCTACGTACCCATCTGATGATTCAATAGACTCCAACTTGGGGGATGATTTATATGAAGAGCGGAGACAGGAGCTCCTGGAGGAAGAGCTCGCCCGAACGGAGGAGCTCGAGCTCCGGAAAGAGGAGTTCCTTCAGAATATAAACGATTATCTGCGACGGACGAATCCCCCAGAGCAGGAAGAGGAAGTTACTGTCGCAAAAGCCGAATCTTTGAAAAGTCTTATAGTTAGTGAGAGGGTTGCTTCAGCAAAGAATGGTAAACGTCTCACGAAGAGAAGACAGATGAAAGTGGATTTCGACCAAACGCCGACTTTCCTTCCCGAAGCAGATTATCGTCGGCGTCTGTTTAATTTATGGGCGGACATGAACAGATGCCGGTATCTTCGGGTGCCAGAGGAGCTAATAGACCTCTCCGGGATCCAAACTTTGGCTAAGGACCAGATGCTGCTGTTCGAGGTCTTACGTCAAGCTGAGCAGGAATCGCTCACGGCGTCAGCACAGTTGTGAAGGAGTGAGCGGGGTAACATTCCGTCTGTGACATGTTGGAACATTGCGAACGGGCTGTGCACATTTGTTTTGTACACATGTGGCAAATCACCAATGTATTAAGTTCATGTCAGCATTGTAGGTGAGCGTCAAAGATCCAGATTGAGCTGTTGAAATGGAACTCGTTTTGGACTCCTTGTTGTTGAAGCGCCGATACTGTTTTGCCTGTTAAGACACGTCGTGTGTTGCGATATGTGTATTTTAGGTTAGCAATCATTTGATATTGACATGTATCTTTGAAACTGTCGAAATGAACGTCTCCAATTGGTACATTTGTGGTGAGTGTGTATGGTTTTAATCCGATTTTAGAAATATTCCAGCAACATCACAGCAGGGGACACCAGAGTGAGTGAGTGAGTATGGTTTTACGCCGCTTTTAGCAATATTCCAGCAATATCACGGCGGGGGATACCAGAAATGGGCTTCACACATTGTACCCATGTGGTGAATCGAACCCATATTTTCGGCGTGACGAGCGAACGCTTTAACCTGTACCATTGTACACCGACGGGGAGCGATGTGTCAGTCATGTATACTTGTAGGAATAGACTTTGTGGAATACCTATTTAAGGAATTTATTGCACACAATCAAAGTTTCTTTAGAGGGCATGTGCGGGAATACGATTTTTGCAGCAGAACGTATTACAATTATTAAAAGAACGTATTACAATTATTAAAATATATTTAGTATTTGAACACAAGCAAATGGTAAATCCGATACGTGTTATGATTTTCATGAGAACTGCTTTTGCCCGATTTGTCTGGATGCAATACCACGACAGCAGCCGTAATGGTAACTGTTGCCGTGTTACCTTCACACGGGGTTTGGGGTCGTCCCTGAGGTTGGTATTTCCAGTCGCAGGATACACCGGTGTTATCAACAACTCATTGAGATGCAAGGGGATCAACACTGAGCCAAACAACTCAGATAGCGAGTGTTCAGGAAGTGTTCCCTTCTGAGGTGGTCAAGTGTCCACTCTGCGGTCATCTACTCAAAGAGTCGCTGTTTTCACGACAGATGGCCATCACATGCTGGGCGACCTACAACTTGTGTATTATCGTATCTATCACGCTTGTTGGGCCAGTATGCTTGTGGCGGATATCATCTCCATGACAACATTATCCATAGTTACTATGGCTACATATGCTTGGATTCGAAACAAAATACTTCATCGATGTTACCATTTAGACCGCAACAGACTGAGAATTTGTTTTTCGTCTCGACATCTTCTCGGGACTAACTTGACATATTTATCTATTAATCACTTGTATCTGTCAACAGAAAATCTTCATATCTTTAAGCCTCCGAAAAAAATATTTTTGTCTGGTAATTCAGTTTCAAAATTGTCCAACACATATATATAACAATCAAACAATATTGTTTGAGCAATTTAACGGATTTTTCCTGTTGAATACAGGACACAGTCTCGAATTTGTTAACTGGGAAAAAAGGATATTTTGAAATAACCTGGTTGAGAGGTGAAAGTGTAAAGTGATATCAAAGTTGCTATAGTTTAATATAGGCTCTACGATAGTCGTTAGCCCTAAGATCGTTTTGAGCAGTGAGGCCAAAGAATAACTGATTTATTCACCAGACATTTACAATCACAGTTGAATGGCTTTGTTCCCCAGTGCTCTAATGCTGTGGAAGAGCTACAAGACCGTTTGCTAGTTACATTTAAGCCGAACGGTGACGTCGCTTCAACCTTGAGACATATACTCTTAAAACAGTAGGTGATATTTAAAAATATTAGATTATTACAGAAATACAAAGCGTTATCGAGTGATAGTATTGAATAGATAAGAAAAAGGAAGGATTAAGTGTAACACGACAATCAATGACATGTTGGCGGTGTATTTGAGGGTGCAAATAACCAAGACAGACGAGAAGATTTGTTTGTACAAACATGAACGTTTGAGATGACTTGATAAATAATGAGTCATGCCCACACGATTGATCAAACATTCGTCTATACGGCGTAGCATGGTCCGAATCAATCTCCCAATGACAATTTGAGGGAACCTTGTTCACTCCTCTTGTATCGCCTGGCCCAGCTCTCCTGATCATGTCCCAGACGTGTTCTGTTGGGGAAAGGCCAGGACTCGTGGCTGGCCATTGCATTCTGGTGAGGTTTTACTGCTTGAGGGTAGTAAGTTACGATATGCGCTCGGTGGACACGAGTGTTAACGTCTTGAAAGACAAAACGTGGACCAGCATGGCGCAACGGCGCAACTATTGGCGCCTGTATGTGGTCTCGATAGTACTGTCCAGTGACCCTTCCATGGACAATATGGAGTTGTGTTCAGGCAGTCATAGCGATCCCGCCCTACATCATTACAGACCCACCCCTACATTTGTCATGTTACTTTACGTTGACGTTCGCATGACGTTCGTGAGGACGCCTCCAGACACGTCGATGCCCATTAAGAAAGTCCAGAGTGAATCAGGGCCCCGTTCCACAAAGTTATCTTAGCGCTAAGTCGATCGTTTATTCCATTCTTTAACACTGACTTACGACAATCGTAACGCTAAGATCGCTTTGTGGAAAGGGGCCCTGGCCATGAATATATTACGCGAGACCATAACCGGTCCCCAAGTTTCTACGATCTTAACACCATTGGCATCTGGCAAGGTGTCTGTCTGATGACGGTGGTACAGCACGTGGTCGCCTAGCATGTAAACGATCTGGTCTGGTCATACACTTAAACTCCGGTGGCTTGCAAGTGAACAGCGATTTGACTGGCTGTTGGGGCACAATTTCTTAAAGCATAGTTTCTGATTAATGGATCTAGTTTCTGTTATTGACCTAGGGCGCCTTGTGCGGGGCCGATAATTAAGATTTTGTGTCTGCATAAACCTGTTCTGCAAATCACAGACTGGAACAAATAGAACATAATGGCTCCCTCTCGCTGAGTTATACCAGTTCGAAGCATACACATAGACGCAGGCGTTCATCACGTTTTAGGAATCCCAATCTGGTCACAAATACTGCATTAAAGCAAGAGCAGAGAGTTTACGTGTTACAATACCAATAGCTCAGGGCGATTTGACGACCTTTCACTGAAGTATCAAAATAGAAAATGACCCCTACCCACGTGCACGAAGGAATTCCATAGTCCGTGTTCAATGTATTGGGTATATTGGTGCGTGAAGTTTTGGTTCTGAAACCGACCTATCTCTGGCAGTCATTTTCCCAAGCTATTCTTTCTTCTGGCGACCGATCATATCATTCATATTTCATGACAAAAATATAGTGTACAAAGGTAAATTGTGATAATTGTAAATAACACTAAGTTTGTCAGGAGACGTTATGACAATATTCTTCTTGAATATAACTGTTGCATGTAACAAAACACAAGTTCTATATTAACGTATACTGCGTCTCCTGTGACAGGGTCTTTCGTTCACTCATACACACGACGATATGACACACCACCTCGACATGTGTACTACGTGGACAACGACCTGCATGGTTTACCTGTGTTGACTGGTACTTCTTCAATGGGTCTGGATATGGCATTTATCATTAATATTGTTAAGTGTCGATTCCCAAATTGAAACAATATGTTAGCCCAGAAATCTGTACGTAAAAGAACTTGGTGTGAACCAACAAACAACCAAGTGGAATACAACCAACAAACATATTACAAACTTAACTAGGTTTACAAATCAATACAAATTACTGCACAGCAATTACAATGGCAGTACACAATAGAGTGGTTGTACAATATTCAATGACAGTATATAATATTACGACAGCGGTCATCTCAAATACAAAAATACAGTGGTGATAGCAAAAATAAGTGATAATAATATATTCACCCAGCGGCGACAGTGGTCAAGCTTCCGAGAAAGGCCTTGGCAGGGAATTCGGGGTGATGAGTGATCTTCACGCGAAAGCTGGTCTTGATGTAATGAAATGTGTGAAAGACGAAATGTGTGAGAGAAACGAGATGCACGCTCTTGTCCCCTTATATACAGTCTAACTAGCTACTCACAACACAGAATAGTCCACATGTTTCTATAACACACTATCACAGTCCAAGGTATTCTGGACGTTTACACATGACACAAGCATCTAAATATAATAACTTCCTCAAAACTGCTTTCATTAAACAGAGCTACATTCCTGACAATTAATCACTGTCCAAATACAATGCAATGAGCTTCTATCGAATCTCAAAAAAACAATGCAATAAAAGAAGCTGTAGTTTGTATATTTACGACAGCTGCTCACGTCCAATGTTCACACAGAAGCGGTTTCAATATAGGAATATATTTGACAAAAAGTGAAAAGTCAAATATGTGTTACACGGCCATACTTTTAAAGTTTGCCAAGAGAAAGGAACAAAAATCATTCTTTCTTAGGAAATAAACAAAATCAGGTAGTCAAATAACCAACGTGGCCCTTCTGTATTCGGGGACTCTACGAGTGTACAAGTTTAATATAGACTCTCTACTGCATTCCATCTTGTTTTATGTAATTAACTCAAAGATATTCTATCTTCATCATCTTCGCGGCTCTTTATATTTCTAGTTCTGAAAGATGGTAAAACCAAATATGTGTATTTAAGAAACCGCGTGGAGTTCATATAGGAAAGAACACATTGTTTCAGCGCCCTTGTTCGTTATGTGGAGGTGTAGTCTTTACACGAGTTCTTCGTGTATCAATAGTATTGATCCGGGCATACATATGCATCTTCAGTAATATATTTTCGTGAAACGGACCCGAGGTGACCGACAGGTTCCTGGAGATGAGATGTCTATGCCTCCTCAGACAAGTTGGGATAAGACAAGTAATACGTGTAACATGAAATATGTGTAACATGTATATGTAACATATAATATGTGTAACATGTAATACGTGTGAACATCGACTGAAACCATGGGGTACGGGGCTCTGGTTAGCCGCCGCCAAGTGACGTCATACTCGACCTTAGTTGTCCATACCGACTAGACCCATGGGGTACGGGGCTCTGGTTAGCCGCCGCCAAGTGACGTCATACTCGACCTTAGTTGTCCATACCGACTAGACCCATGGGGTACGGGGCTCTGGTTAGCCGCCGCCAAGTGACGTCATACTCGACCTTAGTTGTCCATACCGACTAGACTCATGGGGTACGGGGCTCTGGTTAGCCGCCGCCAAGTGACGTCATACTCGACCTTAGTTGTTCATACCGACTGAACCCATGGGGTACGGGGCTCTAGTTAGCAGCCGCCAAGTGACGTCACCGTTACAGGTAATTACTAGTTTCATTATTGATTCAATCAGGAATAACGGCAGTTTAATGAAAATAATTCATTGATTAAGTCCTGTCGGAAATGCGAGAGAAATGTTTTTTTGCCCGTTTAAAAAGGTTATATTTTTTCACAGACTGTTGCTATAGAAACATCGAGTAACATACCGATCGACCTACCTGTGGTTTGAAATATTTTAGTCACAAGAAGTTCTATCGACAAGTTTACAGGAGAAGAATTCGAACAGTAAGTTCACATTTATTCTAAGTCCAATGATGGCAGTCTAAAACGGACTATAGAAATATGCGCACGTAACTCTGTTATAATTATAATAATGTAGTCTTCGTAAAACATCTAATCCACACAAAACAATCATATGGAGAAAATTCTAGATATGCATCTTCTAAAATAGGACGCTGCGTTTGTTTTGTCAACACTGCTCCCATGACGCATGTTACATTACACTTGCATAATCATAGCCATGGTACACGACATGAAATCTGTACTAGGAAATGTATACAAGTTCTTTACACTTAAGGAAGATAGAGGGAATCCATTTATTAGTTTAGATAGGGTGAATTACCGAACTGCCCAAGCTATGGGGTTTTCAATTCATACTATCAAGTGTACGGTATGATAAATAAAAAGGTATTGGGGTTGTCTCAAAATCAAAACCGGGACGTAAAAGGGTATTAGACAGCTTTGATACAGGGTGATTAGGGGTATTGTGTACATGCTTTATGAGCAGACGGTAAAGAAATAAAAGAGACAATTAATGTTTCCCAGACTGCACTAATTATTGCTCTCCGCGAAATGGGATTTCGATACACTGTATGTGGCGATGACCGAGCAGTTTTCAGGAGGAAATATTCGATCCTGTCCATGAGGTCACATTATCTCCGCAACATTCACAACTATCACAGTCAGGGCTTCCAGATAATTTACCGTGATGAATCATTTCACTGACTACATGTGGCTATCGGCAGATGGACAAAACACACCCAGGGTTCCATCTGGTAAAGGTAATCGTGTCATTGTTTTGCACGCCGCAACCCGTGATCTGGGGCTTGTTGATGGATGTGTGCTAGTTTTCGAGGAGAAAAGGCAAACAAGGAAATTATGGTAGGTGATGTGTTCATAGACTGGTTGGAACATCAGCTATTCCCCATTTTTAAAAAACAAACAATCAAGTGTTATTGTCATGGATAACGCCAGTTAATATAACGTTAATATACTGTCGCGCCAACCATGAGTAGTCCGAAGGCGGCCATACGGGAATATATGACATTGCCGACTTCAGACCATCTGAGACAAAGGTTCAACTCATGGAGACAATTCGGCTGAATAAGAACCCTGTAAAGTACAAGACATATGTGCTGGCGGCACAACACGGTCACGTTGTCTTACGTCATCCAGTAAGACATTGTGAGCTCAACCCTGTTGTACCTATCTTGGCTAACTGTGAAGGGTTCGTGGCAAGACATGACACAACATTCAAACTCACACAAGTCAAAGGGTGGATCAACGCAGTCTTTGCTGGATATCAGCCTTGTTGAACCAGTTATCATACCTTTGGCCGATAGTACAGAGTCATATACGTCATCAGCGGAGATAGATGCTACCTCAAGAAATCATCTGTAGGACAATAATTACTTCTTGATTTCAAAACCGCAACCTTCCAATACTCATCCCGTTTCATAGCTTTTAACTATTCCATAATTTTTCCAAGCAAATATAATAAGTACATATCCTAAATTGCTACCGCATCAACGCACATGTCAATTAAGTACAATATCAGCAATATTTTGAGACCACCCCCAACACGGGTGACATTTGCACCTGTGGGAATGCACAGGTCGGTGTCAGGTCATCACCTCGGGACAGGTGTTGGAAAATTACCACAGGTTATAGACCGTTTCATACATGTATGACAACATACGAATATTTCCTAAGTGCTGGAAGTTTGTTTGAGAAAGAATGTATTTTAAGTCATCGCTTCAGGACACAAGACATGCACAAATCTTGTTTCTCTGAAAGGAGGGCACAAACAACTGTGTGTTACTCAGAAAACATTATTATTTTTCATAACATCTTGGAAGCATGTCCAGTGATAGAGCTATTAACTTTTTCCCAGTATTTTCGGAAACAAATTACCCGTTTCAAACAAATTCGTTTTACTACCTCAAATTTCAAAACACAGTGTGCTTATCACCTTATTTGATACCGCTGGCGGACCAAGAATGTGGGTTCTCAAATGCCATGGCAAAATGTCCAACTTTTCGGTGAAATACGATAGGATAGATGCGGGTGGTGAACACATAGTTTGTGATCGCAATGTACTCTTGGTGTGTTAGATATAATACAGTAGTATTTGAATTAAACAGGCAATGCTATTGTTTCATTATCCAGAGCTTCTGTATCATGAACACAGTTACAGCAGCGTGGTGCGCTTGACAAATCTAACAAAGCAAACGTAAAATACCAGTGAGTCCAATCAGTGTGGGCGGCAGTCGTCCAAAAGCCAAGCGAACGTACAGTCAATATATTATAATCTCTGATAAATCTTTGCCTATCATCAGTATACCTTTGTGAAACTGGTAAAATGTAAACGGTTATGACATGAAACATACATACAGGTGGAGTACGTTCACAATACATCTTGTCACAATGGTGGGTAATATAACAATTTTAGTTTACTATGTATTTAGTTGTGAAGCACACAGAGGTATTTATCTGGGAACATATTGATCGCACACGAATGCAATAACTTTCAGTCTGCTTCAGTGACACTATGTTTTTTCAGAGTGCGTCGTGAAGATTGGTAAGAAAATATATAATAATACAGCATGTGCCATTTCTTGTTAAAAGGCATGTCTCATCTCATTCAGCAACAGCCTTGACATTTTCAGTTTAAGTCAGAAGAAAATCAGATATCCTTGTGCTGTCACATTATAACACGTGTTCAGTTATAGTTTAGTGACTAACATTTAGCCTTGTTTGATGATCAACGGCGGTATATGAGTTAGAGCCATAATTGACTATGACGCATATATTTATTAAATATTTTCTTCAAACCATCATTCGTGACACGTAGGCTACATTTAGGCCTATGTACGCATTACAGTTCTATATAAAGGAAAACTACACGAACCAATAAATAATAAGTAATAATAGGCTGTTAATTCACATAAAAGGAAGCTTTCAACTTTTGGAAGGTTCTCGAAGCAATTTGTTTAGTGGGCGTTAAATAACTTAGAACTATTGGAGTTATGTCCCTTGGAAATGGATGCGTAGTGATATATCAAATTGGCGTCATATGCTGATAATAACAAACGATGTTACTAATGCTATAGTGTAAACGTTATTACTTTGATGCGTGTTTGAAAAGGTATTCGTGAACAAATTGTAAACCACGTACAGCTAGGAACTACTTTATAACGCGCAAGTACTTCTGGTGGGTGTTGTTAGGCTATCGCACATGTTGATTCATATTTCAGAATAATCCCTGCCTCAGTCGAAATTGTGTGGAAGACAGCATTGTCTGCCAATATTTTCAGCGTTATCTGAATAGTGGCAGGTACGAACTCGGATTGTTTTGCAGTGTTTTTTGTTTTCCTTGTGCAATACACAATTGTGGTAAATGTTCCTAGATTCTACTTCGACTTTGGACACAAGCCGGTGACAGCTATGTAAACAATGATGGTATTTCCCTAGTTACCATGGCAGTGCAGGCAATGCTGTGACTTAGGTCGTGTTTAATAAACTTGGACTAATTATATTTTATTTTGTAGATATGGCAAAACAAATAACACAAGAGACATTTGACGATGTTGTCAAAGAAAACATGGAAGACTTCGACATGGCTGTTGAGGACGCTATAGAAGATGCAGTGCAGCAGTTCCAGACTCAGGTAAAGTTTTATCTCCGACTACCTTGGTAATAATAATAAGATAGAATTTGACGATCAGTGCTCCCAAATAACATTTTCGACCACCTTATGTAGTTCATGTTCTTCCTGACTCACACAACTTGGAGTATGTATCTGGCCTCATGCTTTACATAATGATACATGCAAGGCCATTATCTTGGATAAAATTGATAAAGCCTTTGGTGTCAACCACTGGGTGTCACTAGTGAAAAACATGGAACTCGTAGCCGGAGCTTTTGACTCATTATTAACACAGTTAAGCATTGTTGTATCGAAGTTGAAGGGACCTACGTAACTACTCTGAGTTATCCATGGTTCAACACAACTGAAAATGATGAATAAAGAAGGAATACGCAGGGACCAATCTTTTACTTCGAGACAAGTGTCAGTTCGAAGCTCGACACATCAGTGTTTAACTGTACATCACTACACTGCATTCCTCCACCACCCATAGATAACCGATATGTGATGTAGTAGTGACATTGGTCCATTTAAAGTCAAGAAATGACATTAGGCCAATCACATCTCATGGAAATCAAATAAACCTTCTGTTGCATGATAATGAAGCAGTGTGTACAGTGGATGGCTGCAGTACTGAGACACGTGATAAATGAGATATTTTGCCATTTGTACAATGTAATACATGTATGAGCAGTCACTGGTCAGAGGATGAACATAAAACCATGAAGTCTTGATGATATTGTGAACTTGACAACTGCAAACTGCTTTCTACTGTCAGCCATATTGAACATAAATGATATCCTGATGTTTCAGTCATACATGGTCAACCAGTAGGCATGACACATCAATGTTGGTTGTCAAATTACAACTGAAATTTAAAAATGGAATCATCTCAGTAATAATTATCAAATAATGAAAACAAATCTTGGTCTCCAGGGTGTTTCTCTCGACAACATTGTAAAGGATGGGAGTTTATACAGTGGAGGAGGAGGAGATGGTGTCATCCACCCTGTCATCAAAGCAGTACAGGATCTGTCACTCGTATCAGATGATGCGGAAGCTGAGCAGGTCACGTCGATGCTGTCAGTTGTTCAGTCAGAGTGTGATGTCGACTTGTCTCACAGATGTTTGGCTGGAAGTAACGACGCCTATCCAGTCCTTGTGAAAATGTGTGGCAAATACGAAGACAATCCTGAGATATTAACAACAGTCTTGAAAGCATTTTGTTCCCTTGTCAATGGACAACCAGACTTATTGGATGAGCCTGGCAGTGTGATGTTCACAGAATATTTAAGAAAGTTCAAATCAAATGCTGATTTGTTGGAACTAGTAATCCGTGCTGTTAGGTTAATGTGTATCAAGCATGAAGGAAATCGACAGAACTTTGTCAGCAAAGATATAATTGTTATCTTATCAGAATTGCTTGATGAGTCTAAGAAGAGCCCTGGTGTTGTCAAGGAAACATGTACATTGTTTCGAGTGCTTACCAATGATGATGATGTTCGAGTCCCATTCGGAAAAGCTCATGACCATGCCAAGATGATAGTGACGGAAGGCAACGCCTTGGAAAGAATTCTCAATATTTGTAAAGGTAATTGTTTGAAATTTAATAACCAACATCCCTATAGAAAGAGTGACATGCAAATTATGTGAAAACTGTGATTCAGTTCAGTATGCCTTTATTCTTGATCATTATCATGTTTCAGAGTATGAGAATAACAGCAACATTCAGAGTGAGCTGTTCTCAACACTAGCTCGCCTCGCTGTCCGAGACGAGTTCTGTAATGAGGTCAATGACCTTGGAGGTCTGAAACTGATCTTGCAGGCATTTGAAAAGAATCTTAATGAAAAGGTCAGTCAAATGCATATATTTGTAGACATGGTACAGTGAGTTAGATGTTACCATTTTGGTGGAACTAACATGTGTAGGTTGCCTAGAAACATAATCAGGGTGAACTGTGATTTGAATCCACTATCATAGGTTTTTGGCAACCTTAGCGATGCAACTCTGTGCATTTGTAGAGATTCAAATATGTAAAGACAAGGGGACACAGCTCATAGTGTGATTTCCTTCTTAGATGAAGATGTAAGCTGGCGTCAACGTTAATCTTTGTATCTATTTATAATGTTATGGTAAGGACAGAGGCTGATGCCTCTCTACATGTTACCATGGCTACAGATGTGAAAGTAGGACAAACATCCATGACCTAGAAAACAAGAAACCATAATGTTCTGTCAATCTGATTTTCACTGAACAGTGACTGAAGCAAATTGCAGTTGTGACCTTATTAATTAATATTAATATTAATGTGAATTTCTTTTTCAGAACATCTCTAAGCAAGCTCTTGTGGTGTTGAAGGCCCTGGCAGGAAACGACAATGTTAAGAAGGTGATTGTCAAGTCTGGCGGAGTGGAGTTGATCCTTGCCGCCATGACGAAGCACCAAGCCAATGCTTCCATTGCAGAATCTGCATGCTCAGCGCTGGCAACTGTAGTACTACGGAACCCAGGTCATGTTGCCAAGGTGATGGAGTGTGTCGGCTATCAGCAGATTGTCCAGGCCATGAAGATACACAAGGATGAGCAGATGGTTCAGGTGGGCGACATTTTTGTGACATGTTTCGAATAATCATAAAAAACTGAATACTGCATCATTTCCACGTGTCTTTCTTCAGTCACAATTTGAGAAAGTCATTGACCTTGGAAGTAAATAAAGCTGTATCAGATCGCTGTCAGTAACATCATCATTGGCCAGACCAGTGGTTGGTGTCATAAACATTGAGTCATGCCATCTAGGAACTATCACACAGAAAGCATTTATCCATGCCATCAACAAAACATCAACTAGGCAGCCCACTGTGACCACCCAATCCTCATATTGGTCAGCTCGCACAACAAGCATGGCATACTTGGGACTATCGTCAACTTACACGCACCAAAACAATGGCCCTGTATTGTAAGCATCCAGTTCCTGGTTTGTTCAGCACAAGGGAAGCCACCTTTACTCACACGAACATCTTCCCGAGGCAAGGGAGTTGACTGACCATAAATGTCCTGTTTCCAACCTTGCCGAACTCGGCTGGAATTATGGAGTTAAATTTTGGCTGTGTTAACTAGTCTATGCATAGTCCATTCAAAAATGTGCAACAAAATTGACATTTAGTCAATTCCAGGATTTGCAAAGCATGTTTACTGCCATCTGGCATCAACAGATAGTTTCACAATCTTTTCATGTTTCAAGACCTGTTTTATCCCAGTATAGATTTTGATTATCGATCAGATCGTCTTGACTGGGCGCCCCTATTTTGTTTGAAGCAATGCAAGTTATATGAGAGGTGGAATCTGATTGGTCAATAGGATGGACAAAGAAGGGACATAACTCGTAATAGCCACTGGTGGTGCTGCGATTGAGCCCAGATATTACAGCAAAGTTTGGCAAGGGTGGAAACTGGACTTTTACAATCAGTTAACTCCCTTGCCTCGGGATCATGTCACATGAAAGGCCCACTATGGGAACAAATAGTAATAAATATCTATCCAGAATACTCACTTTACTAATAGTGATGAATCCCCATTGGGATTCTTGGTTAGGAATAGTGCCCTGCAACCTATAAAAATTGTAAGACTCTAGATTTTGTTTAGACCGCTGTTGTATGGCTTGAATATTGCTAAGAGGAGCATCAAATAACATATATACGAACTAATATTTCTGATTAAGTAACATACTACTTGACTACATATGTGCTTTTATCTGCTTGGAAAATAATGCGCATTGTTTTGATCGATCCTATATTTGATGTTTTGGGGACATGTTTTCATTTTGTCTTATACGTAGGGTAGTTAATCTCTGTATACACATGTAATGTACAAAGGGGTCTGACATCCACTGTTGCAGAAACAAGCCTGCATGGCTCTCCGTAACCTTGTAGCCAGAACCCGGGACAACTGCCAGAATATTCTGGAGCAAGGAGCGGAGGCTGTCATCAACGATGCACTGCAACGTCACTCGGGGCTGGAGGACGAGGCCAAGGCTGCTCTGCGTGATCTGGGCTGTAAGGTGGAGCTGAAAGAACGCTGGAAGGGAGAGAAAGGACAAATTGTTCACTGATACGAATCGTCACCTTTGGATGGTTGTAGCTATTTCAATATGGCCGATTTAAAATACCAAGTATAATCGCACAGGTTTGTTCTGTATAGATCAATGTGCATGATCAAGATGCATTCTGTATAGATCTCTGTGCATGATCAACTTGTCTTAAAGCATCACAATCCATTACTTCATCATGAATCTTGGTGATAGAAAATGACACTTGACAGATTACTTTTACAAACATTTGCAAATATCTGAATGGTGTACCTCATAGTATGGACCATTTGCATTCATATCATGCAAGATCACCATCATCCACATTAGGTTGGGTTGTTTGTATTCACATCATGGACAACAAAACCACAATTTCTCGGACTCACGCAGAGATGTTGCATGTTATTTCTATAATCCACATCAGGGGGGATAACATAAACGAGATATATTCCACCTCCTCTTATTCATTTGTGAGCATGATCCCTGCATTCTGCTTTGATTTGCTTGTTTTTCATATATTCTAAGTTAATTTTTTATGAATGTTATTTATGTTAACATATTAAAAAACCTTAATGTCAATTCAAATTGAGTTTTTGTCTTTTGTTCCCCGGGATGGTTTGGTCAAAGTAGGATTCTGAGATAGTATAGGTCCTCAGCAACCTATGCTGGTTCTAAAAGGGGCAGAAAACTGGTCAGATGACTACAAAGCAAATTTAAGTTTTAACAACTGTGTGTTGCATATATTCTATACTTTCAGTCTGTTAAGATAAACAAAACAAGGAGACTGAAATTTCCTATGTTCAACAAGAAGACAACAATTATTAATTCACCTTACCATTTTGAGTAGGTAAATAACATCACAAAGTGTGTATATGTATATGCCATACATCTGATTGTACCAACCCAAGCCATAGTTATGTTATGATCACCCAGAAGAACTGGAACAACTTTTGAGCTGATGTGGGTTGCCTGGTACAAAGTTTCCTGAATAGCAAAAGGTACCATTTCAGCACTTGCCTTGTGTTTGGATATCTCCCACCAAGTGTTTTAAGGTATACAACGAGACAGTTGGACAACTAGATTAATGGTCTAGTGTCCCAGCATTTGTTGAACCAAGTACCAGAGTTTGAAAGCAATTCCATAGGAAGAATTTGTAGCCTACATGGAGAGTGTTATCACAGCGAGTGTGAGATGGGTTTAACGGACACTTTGAACATTATTTTGGTTCTATCACAGCCTGTCAGTTTGATGGTGGAGGAAAGCCCTAGTTGATGCATGTCTTAGACGTTTACCAGTTTGGTGAAACCCACGAGCATGGGTATCAGCATCACAGTCAGAAGGATTTACGTGAGGTTTAGTTTGTTTGTTGTTTTTAACGCTGCACTCAGCTATATTCCAGCTATATGACGGCTGTAAATAACACTCTGGACCAGACAATCTAGTGATTGACATCATGAGCATCGTTCCATGTAATTGGGATACGATGACATGCATCAACCAAATCAGCGAGCCTGACCACCCAATCCTGTTAGTCGCCTCTTACAACAAGCATAGTCGCCTTTTACGCAAGCATGAGTTGCTGAAGACCTATTCCTCCCCAGTTTAGTACCCAAGCAAGTTTCACATGTGGTTTGGAGAGGCATGGCACCTGGCTCTTGATTCTGAGAAATACTACAGTAAAAATGATACACCAAAACTCCGATGCAGCATGACATGGCATAGGGGACGATACATAAGGACCTGTATCGGGATGCATGTGACGATACAAAAAACATATTTTTACATACATTGAAATCAAACAACATTCCTATCTAAAAAGAGATAAATGCGAGCTTCAAAAGCCGCCTACTCCCTTTAAATTCGCTGTGTGGGATCATTTTGGTCAACAGGCTTCCCTGCTACATCATATAATGGGCTCCGAACAGTTAAGCCTGTCAACTTTTTTTATTCATCTGAAAGACACCAAAATTTCAGTTTGGCCTTTGTGTTGTTAATCTGCAATGTTGAGACAGGTATCGTATCATTGCACTCCTAATAAATAGAGAATCTCACCCGAGTGTCTTTTGATATAAAATATATCAACACGAGTTGATAAAATTGGAAAAATTCTGAGGCTTGCCGAGGATTTTTGCCACTTTTATCAACGAGTGTTGATATATTTGATGTCAAAAGACACGAGGGGTGAGATTTTATTTATCATCCAACATCATTCTTCCAACTTTTTCAATTTGTAGACAGTAATTAGCTGTGTCTTCAGTGTAAAAAGTACTGCTAACAGCTTCAGTAGCAGAGCCATTAGTGATGTCATTTGATTGTGACGTCATGATAACCAGTGATGTCACAATGATCTGCAAAGCATTGTGATGTAATTTCATTGCAGCGATATCTACAGTGTAGATATCGCTTGATCTCATCCAAGCGATATCTCCTGTGGGAGCCAGTTTTGGATGATAAATGCAAATCCCAATTTGACGATGATATACAAAGTAAACAAGGTAGATACATATGAAAAGTTTATTGCATTGTATTTTTAATGAATAACATACATATGCATGATGGTAACAAGACCAAAACATGCTTCCCATACAGAGTCACTACTGTTCAATCTCAAACCCTTCACATGAACCATTTCAATACCATGAACACAAAAGCACTTTGTACCCTTTGGGAGTGTGTAACATTTCCTCAAGAATTGGCCTTGTGTATTCACTGATAATTCAGAACAAGCAAAACAAAAACAACCTCATTCATTGTACATGTTATACATTTATACAATTCTTGCGTTATTAAGGTTAAACATGTTGCATCTTGCATAGATATTCCAGTAGTTGGAGGAAGGGGCAGTCCAATACATGACTCTTCATCTGTACGGAGAAGTTGCCTTAAGTAATAGTGTACACACATATACAAACACTGCATTCATGTCAGCCTTCATTCACAAATACAGACAGCATGAAATGCCAAAACTGAGAGGTTGTAGCAACTCCAAGTACATCTGTACAAGACTATGAAACTAATATTTTATAAATCTCAAAGCTCATCTCAGTCTTATTCGAATAAAATATTTTGAAACGAATTTCATTTGTATGAGTTTGACCCACAGTTTGAATGCAGTGCAGTGCTGGAGTCGACTGTAGATTACTGCACAAACCAGCACACCATGCACATAGAACATCCAAGGCTGTGTTTGTTCGCCGGTCTGACAAAGTAGGACAGTCTTACCAGTTCTATTCCATTATCATTTGGTCAGATTTCTGTCACTATTGCACACATTAAGATATACTGTCCATGCTGTAACTGTCATGTTATATGATATTCATATTTCCGCACTATATACTACTCAAAAGAAGTTCAACAACACCCAATTCTTTGTACATTTCTATAGTTAACCTGTCACGACAGCAATATGAAGAACCAGGTGTCCTTTAGCTTCTTCTGGGTTGTACAGTTCAAACAACAAATAATAAACTAAAAACACAAACCAACTGAAATAGTATATTAGAACTATGGCGTCAGGAACCAACTGTTAACAACACAAACTATAACATCACAACACATAACAACACATTGAGCACTGTGTGACTGAAAGCTCTGAGAAGCCATGATCAGAGTCATATCTGAATGCTTAACATAGACCTGTTGCCATGGTTACAGTTCAAAAACAATGTTCTAAGAAGGAGGCACTTCACTACATTTATAACTGCAAATGTAACCCCTGGCTTTGACCAAGTTGAACAAATATAACTGTCTGTGTCTTGTATACATATAGTTCATCAGAATCACTGGCCGTTTGTTGTCCATAACACTTCAAAGACATTGTTAAAAGAATACTTTATGCTACACAATTACACACAGACCAGATCAGCAGTATCATTGCAAGTACCTCGAGTGGGTGGGTGAGGGAGGGAGGGAGCGAGACAACCAAGTCGTGCATCACTATTGGCTGTGAAATCTTAAATTGTGGGTTTTGAAATCCAGATTCATCCTGCTAGATCTCCATCAACACCACATCCGTGCTTGTGTTCTCACCAACTAGCATCAGATGGGGCTTCCTCCCACATCAAGCTGATATGTTTTTGTTGGTTGTTTGACGCTGCACTCAGCAATAATACAGCTATATGATGGCGATCTGTAAATAATCAAATCTTGACCAGACAATCCAGTGTTAGTCGCCCCTTACGGCAAGCATAGTCACCTTTACGTCAAGTATGGGTTGCTTAAGACCTATTCTAATCAAGCTGATATGATGTGAAATATCTGAAATACTAACTACAGCAGCATTAAACCCAACTCACTCACCCAACAAGGGATCGCACTCCAAAGCATTAGTCACTGGGTCTCAGCAGCAATTTTGGCCAAGTAATACACACGATAGTTGCCCTTATTCTACACTCTTTACCCTTTACTTCACACCAGACACTGGATAGTGGAGACCTAGTCCCCATTACTTCACCCAAGACACTGGATAGTGGAGACCTAGTCACCATTACTTCATGACAGACACTGGATAGTGGAGACCTAGTCCCCATTACTTCACACCAGACACTGGATAGTGGAGACCTAGTCCCCATTACTTCACCCAAGACACTGGATAGTGGAGACCTAATCACCATTACTTCATGACAGACACTGGATAGTGGAGACCTAGTCACCATTACTTCACACCAGACACTGGATAGTGGAGACCTAGTCACCATTACTTCAAACCAGACACTGGATAGTGGAGACCTAGTCCCCATTACTTCACCCAAGACACTGGATAGTGGAGACCTAGTCACCATTACTTCACACCAGACACTGGATAGTGGAGACCTAGTCCCCATTACTTCACCCAAGACACTGGATAGTTGAGACCTAATCACCATTACTTCATGACAGACACTGGATAGTGGAGACCTAGTCACCATTACTTCAAACCAGACACTGGATAGTGGAGACCTAGTCCCCATTACTTCACCCAAGACACTGGATAGTGGAGACCTAGTCCCCATTACTTCATGACAGACACTGGATAGTGGAGACCTAGTTACCATTACTTCACACCAGACACTGGATAGTGGAGACCTAGTCACCATTACTTCACACCAGACACTGGATAGTGAGGACCTAGTCACCATTACTTCACACCAGACACTGGATAGTGAGGACCTAGTCACCATTACTTCAAACCAGACACTGGATAGTGGAGACCTAGTCACCATTACTTCACACCAGACACTGGATAGTGGAGACCTAGTCACCATTACTTCACACCAGACACTGGATAGTGGAGACCTAGTCACCATTACTTCACACCAGACACTGGATAGTGGAGACCTAGTCACCATTACTTCACACCAGACACTGGATAGTGGAGACCTAGTCACCATTACTTCACACCAGACACTGGATAGTGGAGACCTAGTCACCATTACTTCACACCAGACACTGGATAGTGGAGACGTATTCCCAATTACTTCACACCAGACACTGGATAGTGGAGACCTAGTCACCATTACTTCACACCAGACACTGGATAGTGGAGACGTATTCCCAATTACTTCAAACCAGACACTGGATAGTGGAGACCTAGGCACCATTACTTCACACCAGACACTGGATAGTGGAGACCTAGTCACCATTACTTCACACCAGACACTGGATAGTGGAGACCTAGTCACCATTACTTCACACCAGACACTGGATAGTGAGGACCTAATCACCATTACTTCATGACAGACACTGGATAGTGGAGACCTAGTCACCATTACTTCACACCAGACACTGGATAGTGGAGACCTAGTCACCATTACTTCAAACCAGACACTGGATAGTGGAGACCTAGTCCCCATTACTTCACCCAAGACACTGGATAGTGGAGACCTAGTCACCATTACTTCACACCAGACACTGGATAGTGGAGACCTAGTCCCCATTACTTCACCCAAGACACTGGATAGTTGAGACCTAATCACCATTACTTCATGACAGACACTGGATAGTGGAGACCTAGTCACCATTACTTCAAACCAGACACTGGATAGTGGAGACCTAGTCCCCATTACTTCACCCAAGACACTGGATAGTGGAGACCTAGTCCCCATTACTTCATGACAGACACTGGATAGTGGAGACCTAGTTACCATTACTTCACACCAGACACTGGATAGTGGAGACCTAGTCACCATTACTTCACACCAGACACTGGATAGTGAGGACCTAGTCACCATTACTTCACACCAGACACTGGATAGTGAGGACCTAGTCACCATTACTTCAAACCAGACACTGGATAGTGGAGACCTAGTCACCATTACTTCACACCAGACACTGGATAGTGGAGACCTAGTCACCATTACTTCACACCAGACACTGGATAGTGGAGACCTAGTCACCATTACTTCACACCAGACACTGGATAGTGGAGACCTAGTCACCATTACTTCACACCAGACACTGGATAGTGGAGACCTAGTCACCATTACTTCACACCAGACACTGGATAGTGGAGACGTATTCCCAATTACTTCACACCAGACACTGGATAGTGGAGACCTAGTCACCATTACTTCACACCAGACACTGGATAGTGGAGACGTATTCCCAATTACTTCAAACCAGACACTGGATAGTGGAGACCTAGGCACCATTACTTCACACCAGACACTGGATAGTGGAGACCTAGTCACCATTACTTCACACCAGACACTGGATAGTGGAGACCTAGTCACCATTACTTCACACCAGACACTGGATAGTGAGGACCTAGTCACCATTACTTCACACCAGACACTGGATAGTGAGGACCTAGTCACCATTACTTCACACCAGACACTGGATAGTGGAGACCTAGTCACCATTACTTCAAACCAGACACTGGATAGTGGAGACCTAGTCACCATTACTTCACACCAGACACTGGATAGTGGAGACCTAGTCACCATTACTTCACACCAGACACTGGATAGTGGAGACCTAGTCACCATTACTTCAAACCAGACACTGGATAGTGGAGACCTAGTCACCATTACTTCAAACCAGACACTGGATAGTGGAGACCTAGTCACCATTACTTCACACCAGACACTGGATAGTGAGGACCTAGTCACCATTACTTCTCACCAGACACTGGATAGTGAGGACCTAGTCACCATTACTTCACACCAGACACTGGATAGTGGAGACCTAGTCACCATTACTTCACACCAGACACTGGATAGTGGAGACCTAGTCACCATTACTTCACACCAGACACTGGATAGTGGAGACCTAGTCACCATTACTTCAAACCAGACACTGGATAGTGGAGACCTAGTCACCGGGTAGCTTTACAGAAGACCTTACAAAATCATACAGCGGGAACTGGTAGGACAAATTCTGAGAACAAAGTGAATAGGTGAGACCCTGCATTGCACCAATCAGAATTAAGTACAAATAAGATTCTGTCAACAAAACATCTTCATTCTGTCTACATCTGAATACCAATGCTCCATGCACAAAATGTTTTCATCATACAACATGTACAACTCTGATACGAAGCTTCTCTGTGGGGAGATCGGAGGACACTTCTATAGGTCATGTCAGGTGGACCTTTTAATCAACCAATCAGCACTGAGGCTTAGCTATGGCATCTACACCTGCAAGCAAATGCCTTCAATTAATGTGTTCTGTGTGTGCTTTCTGTCCAAATTGAAAATCCTGAATAGAGGTGATGCAGCCGAATCATTTTAGAACGTTGACATCTAATTGGCTCACAGCACCCGCCTACTTCATATAGATTGGGCTGTCATGTTCGCTCTGGGTTCGCCTGATGCAACCTTCTAAGGAGGTGTCCTCAGATCTTAACACCTCGATTGTAACGGAGTAAAAATCAGAATTTAATCAATCTCAGCTGCCGCTAAACAATGATCTGAGGTCATCCCATTACGGGTCATGTCAGCACAACCTTTCGCGAACTTTGACTGACCACTGAAATGACTAACAAATCCCACAGAAGTGAGAGACAGACGATAATTTTTATGGTATCAGTCGTACAGGTCGTAACTGTCATTCGGAATACCCCGTGTTAATGTTTTCAAGGTTGCATGATTACACTCATGATCTGGTAAGCAACGCTTTGATTGGTTGGATGAAAGGTTGTTCTGACGTGACCTGTAATGAGATGTCCAAATGGGATTTTAATGAGATTGGATTTTAATGATCATATCAATAATCAAAAATTGTTCAACCCATTAACTGCCTAAAATTAGTAATGATATTAAAGCATAAGTAGATAAACTTCTCTAGACCAATGCTCATTGGCCATGGGATGTGAAGGAGGTGTGGAGGAGGCGTGAAGTCCTACAATATGCATACACAAAATTGCATTGATTAAAGCAGTGTACAGTGTAGACACATAGCCAACAGGGACACCAGTGTAGGCGTGACAACGTGGCTACAGCCCTGAGCAGAACGTACAGGAAGATCCGAGTCAGGATGTTCAATCAACAGTTTGCATTTATTCAACTAGGACATGAGCTGGTGTTATCTGAAGATCCGCTTCACCTGGTACTGAAAGGATTTTGAGTTGGCGAGACCGATGGCAAGGAGGAGGAGGACATAGACCACCATCATCACCACGAACTTGTTCTGCTGAAACCATGACACATGACCTCTGCTCACACCCGTCCTGAAACACGGAGAAGTGACATAGGACATTGGAACATGATTTAAAACATGTCAATCAAACATCATACTTACCGTAATATACACCTAGGGTGATTAGAATATTGACAAAGGAGGACGCTTACTTAAATCATACACAAGAAAATTTTGTTGTCAGAGATCGAATGGCAGAGAACAGAAGTAGTTCATTCGTCAAGTGTTTTCAAATGTCAAATGTTATTGATACAATAATAGTTACTAGGCAGCTATATACCCTCTATACACTGATGTGTTTACTGTAAATTTCCAAATGTCCATTTTCAGGCTTAGTACTGGGTGCTGATAAAGCCTGCTGACAAACTAGTCACAAGTTGGTCAGGTGACAATTATTGGAGTAGGACGCTTATAATGGCAAATACAGTATTTCAAAAAGATGAGAGAGAGATCATGAATCTGAATTGTTGGATCACATCAAACAGAAACCATAAAGTTACTACATGCTCTGTATCCTTATTGTTACAGTTCTTCTCTGATAGTGAGTCTGAGACTGTGTAGAATAGAAGGATGAGTGTCCTAGGGCACTGCAACTCAATATGCAGAATTGTGCCCTTTAGTTATATCAGGATCTGCTGGTGATGTGATCAAATATGTAATTCAATAATATCATGCATTTAAAAAGCACCTGACTTTCATTTGGTCAAATGATCAGTGTGTATTTGAAGTTCCTCCTCAGCTCCCTGGGGAGTATACAACCAAAGCTGCATCTGAGGCAGTATAAGGTTAACAGTCTCATTACCATTTCATCCAACTGGGTACCCACTGACTGCTGTGTGAACAGAGGCATACTTCCAACACTTGCCTAAGGAGATACCACATGTAACATGTGCTTCAGTGTGGGGTAAGACCAAAGCCTTAGAAACTCACTAGTCAGCCTTGCTGAACACAGTCACTCGTCCGCCTTCTCTCCACGACCAGCGTTACTGAACTTGACCTGATGGTGACCTGTGGTGTTCACAGGACCACATGCCCTGATCATGTTCCTTGGTCTATCAGCAACTTATCCAAACTCATGGACTTAATCAATCAGTAGCGGTGGGGACGGAGTGGGCAAGTGGTCAAAAGTGCCAGGCTAGCAACCGCCAGGTGCTGAGATCATATCCCTCCAGCGACCGGGTTGATACTCAGCCTTGGGGCCAACAGTGTTTACAGGTCCTTACAGTGTTGTCACTACCCGTAGTATGCAGTACTTTCACCCTGTACACTAAAAACAACCCACTTGTCCAATGGTAGATGACCAGATGGTGGAAACCTGAATATGTACCTATACACGAAACACAAGTGTAAAAACGTGTTGTGTCACCCAGGGTTAGTGATTTACTTCAAATGTGCGTCTGTTCACCCAGCAGGGAATGGGTACCTGATATGTGAGATGGATGTAGAAACCCTCAAGCACCCCTAGGCAGCCTGGGTTGTATACTGCCCAGGGAGTTCAGAATGATAACAGGAATGCAAATGCATCTGCTGGCTGGGGAACAAATAAAAGCTGCATTTTAGCAGATCCTAGTACCTGAATACCTGCAGTACATAACTATAAATGTGTGTGTGTGTGTTTTTTGTTGTTGTGTGTGCGTGCTTTTGTGTGGGATTGTGTTGGTGGTGGGGCTTCCATGGTATCACTATTTATGCTTATTAGTGTTTCCAGGTCTTAGCTTTTTCCTACTGAGAAGATACGCTACATCTGGTGAAAGTCTTTTTGACTTTGATCAGTTGAGGGTGAAACAGGGACAGAGATGTCGCCATTAGAGACAGACTCTCCAGGCTGGTGTCCTCCCTGGTTTGACTCACTGTTTAGGCTTTGTCTTCTCGGCATACACCACCAGGTAACGAACACGCATGACCTCGTTGTTCCGGACCACATAGTACTTCTCAGGAACATCCCCAGCCATGCTGCCAGTGACACGTGCTCGGGACTTCTTTGCACCATCCTCAGATCCTGGTGGGGGAAGGGCAACAGAGAGATGTACAAGTCCGTAGATGCAAATACTTCCTGGACCATATTGATGACACCTATAGTAAGTGTGCCCTACAGTCCATGGTTTTTATATAATGTATAGAGATGGAGTAATTGATCAAATAATAATGTAACAGACCAAAAGATTATAGATTGCAAAAATGTCCAAACAACAACATGAAGGTCTCTCAGTCATGAACACTGCTCACAGCCAAGTCAGCCTCTCAAGCAATGTAACAGTTGTCATCAACATGATCAATAAAACAATCAGCATCTCATTAGTTTCATGACAAAATAAAACTTAGATTATCAATATAAAGAGTCAGTGAGATAACCACCATTTATTAATTACCATTAATGTTACCAGCACCATGTTGGTTACCAAATGTTTAAAACTTGTTGGATGTGGCTTACATCATAGGATGTGAGCTGTCTAGCCAGCTAAACTCTATCACCATCTCTTAAGCATATCAAAAATTTCACAAAAGAGCGATGGAGACTGCTAGTCCAAATTCGCATTCTGAAAACAAAAGCATTTAAAGAGGGATTAACACTACTGACACATAATGAGTCTGAAAACTTGGGGGGGGGTGCACATTGTAAAAGCAACAAACCTGTCTTTTCCTGACATTTAACACTGGAGTCATCAATCATCTCACACACAGCAACACAGCCCAGCTTGTTTCCGAGTTCACTGCAGTCCCAGGTCAAGCCTGTTGGGCTGTAGGTCATGGACACTGCCAGCTCCCCCGACAAGTATGTGCCCTCACCGAACATTGACACCTTGAAAAGTAAGAGCATATGCCGTAAATAATGAAGTTAATGCCAATGCAACACCTAAAATGCACCATGTAATTAATGAGAGTAGTCATAACTTTGAAAGTTACAAACATTCAATACATGACAACATCAACATTGTACGATTAAAACTCCATGATAAAGTTTTTTTTTTACAAACTTCACTTCTCTCACTAGACATGGTCTAACTTCCATGAAATCTAGATGATCTAGGCCAGGAAACTCCAAGTAAAGCATATTCAAACAAGCATGAAAAACTCATATCCCCCAATATGACATGTCTGGTTGAGTGCAACACAAGAAACATTGTACGCTTTTCAAAGATCTGCTCTGGAAACGAGCACTACCACCATTTTCAGTCTAAGTCAAAGTCATTGCTATGGAAACTCGAAAAATATTTTTTTTAAATATCCCAAACTATCAAAAGTCACCAATTTACCACTAGACCTATCTCTGTGCCAAGTATGGTGATGAAATATTGTACAGTTTTCAAGAAACTAAACAAGACGGACAGAAGGACAGCACTCATTCCTATATCGGGGGATAATGAGATCAGATGAAGGTGATACAAGTTCCAAGTTTTGCTGAGAGCACAATTGTTGGAATGAATATTGTAATGTATTCATCATGGCTGCTGCTACAGTACTCAACATGTTACTTACATGAGTGAGTGATGTCTTGCTTCTAATGATTAGGTTATTTATGACTGTATGAAATGAATACAGGCTTACCTTATTCATATGAGATGCTAGACCATTGTGCAGTATAGAATGGAAGTTTTCTATACGACTTCCATGATAGGCAAAGAAGACTTTTCTGTTGTTGCGGACAACTTGAAATTTGGCATCATTAGTTTCACTGGGAGTCACCTCAAAGATGAAGTTCGGAGATGGCACCTCAGTGGTATGACCAGTCATTTTCTGGATCGCTGCAAACTGTAAGTAGGCAAGTGATTACTCAGATCTTTACAGTGCTATTACCTGGAGACAGAAAAATAAGCTTCAGACATTCATTATTGTCGATGTGGCTGTGGGTGGAGGTAACCAGGGTGTTTTGTCTGAAGAGCAACAACGTACCTACGTACCCAGCCCTGCAATATGAGAAGCAATGTTGCTGTGGTAAACAAAAGGTGTGTTAAGTGATCGTGTTTGTAATAACCAGAGCTCCAGATAAGCTTTTGGTGTTGTGGGTATTTTACCAATGCATTTTAAAATCATTGGGTATCAGTAATTCTATCTGGGTATTCAAATTTCTGTTACCCACTAGTTTTTACACATGTGGGTATTTAAGTTAAATATTTAAAAACACTATTCATCTAGTCCCTGCAAACTGGAGTCATGTGGGTTCGAGAGCTTTATAGGACTAAAAAATACCACGATACTTCCACAAGAAAGTGTGATGGCAAATGATCATGGTGTAACTGTCATCGTGGAGTTTGGCAAGGTTGACGGAATGCCCGTTTATAATTTCAAAATAAGTTGCTGATTTGCTAATCGAATACGCAGGGTTACTTCACAATATTTTGATGATATGCACAAGTTTTATTTGTGTAGAATATCTGTAATGTTCGTTGCGTATTTGATACGCTTGGATTTTATTTTACTGCGTATTTCTGCATTTCTGATGCATATTTTACGCAGATTCGCAGCTTATCTGGAGCACGGTAATAACACACCTTCAAACAGTATTTCAGTTATATCATGGTATCAGGTTTGTCCCCTGGTAAAGGGTGGTGAGGTGAAGTGGGCTTTAAACATAGCGTTCACTGTTGTACTTATACAGCAATGTGCATGAACGTGTATGTGGCTGCTTGTACTAGCCCCGAGTAATGCCAATTTTATAGTGCTAGCCCACTGAGATACAATGCCACATTTTAACAGAAATACCCCACCCATACTGACTCTGAGCCAACCAGTCCTTGTTTAAGCTGAGCATCAGGCAGGGTATCAACAAGTACCATCTTTTAACATGGTATGATGCAGCCGGGGATCGGACCTTTCGCTCTCCAAGCGGATGCTCTACCACTAGACCATGGAGGCGGTCTGGGAAGAAGAGGAAAGGCCAACGTGACATAGGTTGTAGGCTTTTAATCCCTTATGTGAAATTCACTAGCACAGGTATGGTGCTGTTTGACCAAATATCACAATCAGGGATTTGAACCCATGACCGCAGGATCCTTAAATTGGTACATTGGGACCATTTTCATATTGGGTCATTATCCAGGTACTTTTCTGTATGTACCATTGCTGAAATCACAACACAGAATTGTACCCTAGCTAACCAGTGCAATGAAACAACTGGGCCAGTGAGTGTATTAAACGGTGCACAAAACCATTTCAGTTTCACTTGAAACATAAATGGGTAATTTTTAATTTATTACATTATAATGATTCTTCAACTCCCAACACAGGCAATCATGATTGCTTTTACCTGTAATATGGCAGTGTAATTTACTGTCAAACAATGACTGTAACTGTATTACACTGTCCCTGTTGAGATTCAGTAGAAGTTCATTGCATTGTATTTGGATAATGATTAGTTGTCAGGAATATAGTACTATTTAATGTAAGCAGTCAAGCTCCTCACAGCAATAGCCTGTTCGTGGAGCTCTCTAGACTATCGCTGCCACCAGTCAAAACTACCCACTGTGAACAGGTGGCCACAACCATGCTTGGAGTTGAACTCGCAACCGAATGACCGTTATGTTTACTAACAAGTGACGACTGTCGTGACCCCGAATAGACTTATCGCTGCTAAATAAATTTCTTCGTTTGTCAATTTGAATTTCTGTTTCATTAAAATTATCGTGTTATTGATATAGTAAGAATGTAAGGGAGAAGTTGGTTGATTTTCCGTTAGTCTGCAATCTCGAACCAATCTGATTATTAAAACAACAAAGTAAATTCATCTGGAAAACATGGTCAGTCGTAAACCTTTTCAAAATGAACTATGATGGCATTCCCAAAGACATAAACAAAAGTATCAACGTTACTACATTTGGGGTTAGAGGGCAAATTTCAAGATTCTTGTAATGGCCGCGCCCACACTGGTGGCAGCGATGTTACCGAGAGTGTAACGAAGGTGTCACGCGCTGGGAAGGAGCTTGGTAAGCAGTGAGAAATTATTACATTCAGGTGCTTGAATTTCCTGTAAACTTCCGGAATAGCATGTATGGATGTCAAGCATTATAGAAACATGTGAAATATTCTGTTCTATTACCTAACAATAAAATAACGTCATCAGCCTCACCCCCCACAGCTGTTTGTGTTTATTTGGCCAGAAATCACCTACCCACTATCGGCCAACACAAACACGGTTACATTCCAGTGACCCTGGACTGGTCAAGCACTATGTGGAAAGTGCTGGAAGCTGGTTAGACTATGTAAGTGGAACGGGCACATGCCTGTCATCTCACATTTCATCTCACATTACATCAAGACCAGCTTTCATGTGAAGATCACTTATCACCCGGATTCCCAGCCTTGGCCTTAATCGGAAAGTTTGACCACTGTTGTGGAGAGGTGAATATTATTATCACTGAACTTTTTTATATCACCACTGCCATCATTTTTGGTATTTGATACTGCCACTGCATATTGTACTACCACTCTACTGCATACTGCCATTGTAATTGCTGTGCAGTAATTTGTATTGATCTGTAAACCATGTTAATTGTGTAATACAATTGTTGATTGTATACCATTTGTTGGTTGTTTGTTGATTTCACACTAAATTCATTTAAGTACAGATTTCTCGGTTAATGTTTCATGCACCATTGAATGGACTAGTCCACTGTCTCCAGTGTCATGCACTGTTGAATTGACTAGTCCACTGTCTCCAGTGTCATGCATCCTTGAATGGACTAGTCCACTGTCTCCAGTGTCATGCAACGTTGAATAGACTAGTCCAGTGTCTCCAGTGTCATGCATCGTTGAATGGACTAGTCCACTGTCTCCAGTGTCATGCACTGTTGAATTAACTAGTCCACTGTCTCAAGTGTCATGCATCGTTGAATGGACTAGTCCACTGTCTCCAGTGTCATGCATCCTTGAATGGATTAGTCCAGTCTCCAGTGTCATGCATCGTTGAATGGACTAGTCAACTGTCTCCAGTGCCATGCACCATTGAATTGACTAGTCCACTGTCTCAAGTGTCATGCATCGTTGAATGGACTAGTCCACTGTCTCCAGTGTCATGCACTGTTGAATGGACTAGTCCACTGTCTCCAGTGTCATGCATAGTTGAATGGACTAGTCCACAGTCTCCAGTGTCATGCATCATTGAATTGACTAGTCCACTGTCTCCAGTCATGCATCGTTGAATGGACTAGTCAACTGTCGCCAGTGTCATGCATCGTTGAATGGACTTGTCCACTGTCTCCAGTGTCATGCATCATTGAATGGACTAGTCCACTGTCTCCAGTGTCATGCACCATTGAATGGACTTGTCCACTGTCTCCAGTGTCATGCATCGTTGAATTGACTTGTCCACTGTCTCCAGTGTCATGCATCGTTGAATGGACTTGTCCACTGTCTCCAGTGTCATGCACCGTTGAATGGACTAGTCCACTGTCTCCAGTGTCATGCATCATCAAATGGACTAGTCCACTGTCTCCAGTGTCATGCACCGTTGCATGGCGTATCCAGAGTCATGCACAGCAGTGGTCAACTAGGTCAGATGTCATCATTCAGATTTCGTCTCGAGTAAATTTCTGTATCCAGAGAAGACCATGGGGTACATTTCTGTAATACCCCATACCATAATGAACCCTCTACTGGTGGTGTAATGCATAAGGTGTGTTAACGCCTTAGGTTAAATTTAAAGCCTTCCAAAAAGGTGGCAAAAATATGGTATAACCGAACAGTTGGTGCTTACCTGAGTCTTGTCTAGGGTTGTGAGAGTGAAGGACTTCGAGTCCATCACCCAGTGAATCAGGTCAATGGTCTTGCTGGAGAGTGATGATAACGAAGAACCTACTCTCAACACGTTTGGAACTTCACGCATTGCCTGCTCCTACAAAATTGAAGTAACATGTATCAATAGCATACAACTCACTTTCTACAAACACAAGTGAGCTTAGTGTATCGGCTGCTGTTTGTAAACTACCTGTCTGTTATGTCATGTGACTGATCAGGTTGCGCATCTATTTTTAACTTGACTGTTATGAAGGGGCTCAAAATCAGGTGACTGTAACAAGATGGTGTCTGAGTGGCTTGTCCTGCTTGGTGACACATTATCACAATTATATTGACAAGATGTGGTCATTAGACTATTCAGTTGTAAACAGAAATAAGTGTTCTCAAATGTACGGCTTAATTTTTGTGTATTGCGATTGTTATTAGACAAGTAATCAGAAATACTTCTTGGGGACTCGAAACCACAGTAGGCAAAGATATATCAGCTATATATCCAGGAAATGCGCACGGTGCCGCCTTGCTGGAAAGGTAATGCTGATGCAACAATCGTAATGATTATTATATGCCATGGCAAGATTGTTGTCAGCAAAGGTTATCGGTGGAGAGCCATTTGTAAAGTAGCATTCGACTATGAGAACCATTATTAAAAATGATTGCATAATATGTGAGCATAGATCCAACATGATCGGAAAAAAAAGATAGGCCTAACTAAAACAGGTAGTAGATCTCTACCTAAATTGGATTAGAACAATAATTTGTTCGCATGCACATGTGACGAGCAACAAGACAACGATAACGAAATTAAATCTACCAGTGATTTTGTATCCTTTTCGTTGTCGGAACTCATGAACATCGGAGGGAACGGTCGAAGGACGGTGTCAAATCGGTAACTTAGTGCTGCCGACGAAAACAAACTCCATTGCATATCGACAGCAAGTGGATCAAGTTTTATCTTTTCTCTTATGAATTGTACTTTACGTGTCTGGTTATCATCCATGATGATTTCAACTCAATGGCAATCCTCAAAGCAATCACAAACGGTCATTGACACCGGACCGATCCACTCATCTCTGTAAATCAGTAACGTTACAACACGGTACTTTACTACGTTTACTTCCTTGAAAGTGCGCATGACAAGCGGATGTTTTGATCTATCAAGTTCCACACAGCGATACTGTTCCATTTTTTAGAAGACTTCGATAAGCACGCACTGTGGTAGAGCGTGGGATAAAAACATTATATTTTCCACAAAACATATTCCAGTAATGTATCCAGTATGTATCCCTAACATGTAAAAGCCGTAAATTACTCCTCTTAATAACTCAGTGACAAACAGTCAGGGCAGCTTACCGTGATCCTCATTCCATGTTTATACCATCACTCTAACACTGAGTCAATTCCATCAGTGCTGTCAACCAACACATGGATTACAAATGCTTAGGGAAGCAGGCTCGTTGCTCATAGTTCTAAATATCAACAGGCCCTTACGGTCTGCAGTTCATTTAAGTAATTATGTATTAACAGAGACCATATAATAGATGGTTATATGGTCTCTGGTATTAAGCATTATTTAAGTAATGTGATAAACATAAGTTTCTTATTTATAAACAGTGGGATTAAACCTTTCAAATGGTGTATGACATGTAGTCGCAAAGATGTTTTACAAGCTGAAAATGTCCTGATAAATGTCAACATAGGCTTCATCTTTCACCACCGAGTCTTTGGGAACTCGGTGTGATAGCAGTAATTTAAGCGTCTGGTTGACTGGTTGTGTTTTGTAAGTTGTATTGCAAGAGTGTGTTTCCCTGCATCAGCTAAAATGTTTGGGCCTTCAGATTTTTCTACTAGGCCTGCGGGTTTTTTTTTAAAATGTGCTGGGGTCTCAGTTACTCTGGTGAGTTTCAGACGATGACTATTGATCAAAGTTTATTGTAAATCCTTTGAATTAATGAAATAAATAGAGCAAACAAATAGAACCAACACTATAAGCTTTATCTTTATATTTTCATTTGACCCTTTTGACGTTTTAGTGTGGCCGTTTTGACTTTTTAGTGTGGCTGTTTTGACTTTTTAGTGTGGCCGTTTTGACTTTTAAGTGCCGCCGTTTTGACTTTTCAGTGCTGCCGTTTTGACTATGTGGTGTCTCTGTACCTTTTCACGTGTGGCCCCTTCGACCTGTTCCCTATACAGCAAGCACTGTCACTAGTTCGGTAATATATCTATAACTGGAGTATTGCTGAGTGTTACCCTCCACATCTTTCAGTGACAATGTTGAATAAAACCGTTCTCCTTATTGATCTCCCTATTTAAGATATGCCGTGCAAGGGCGAAAGTGTTGACACCATAGAACATAGGTACTTAGATACTGTTAATAGTTTACACTCAATAAACCATTTACGCCACTCCATGTACATGAACCTTTTTCACTAAACCCACAGTGTCAACATTGCATTCAAACGCTTTTGTGATATTAATATGATTCTAAACATAAATAAAAACATAATAAAGTAATAATATCCGTTTTCAAGTGCTCTTTACGATTAGAATCATTGTTAAATGTTGTGCAACTAATAGTATATATCGTAATTGCAATGTATGCTCCACAACAGCGCGTGTTTTCTTCTACGTGTGTTATTTCAAGAGCAGCGCTGTTTGGAGCTTTACTCTACATTTGAACGGAAGTTAAAATGGCAGAGGGCAATCCACGTGGTCCTAATATTTTGATAACAGGTTGTTTATTCGTTGCATTTACGTTGTTATGTACAAGTCAGGTTAATGGGGATTCCTAAATTTGGTATATCCACACACAATCATTCAATAAAGTACGATAATGTGTTAGTGTTGCGCTGAGGTTCACATTGGCACACAATCTGTTGGCCACAGATTCTTTTAATTTTTAACTCAATTGATAGTGCCTTAGTAGCACGTGTTGTTTGCTGGTTTTATTTTGTGTGTTTGTATATGTTCGTGTACGTCATTATTCAGGTCCAATTTATAACTAGGCCATGTTACGGCCTCCCCGCCCCGTCGCCAATAACACAACACGACTAACTGCCAGAACACAACACTAGATCTCCCAGATAACTGGAGTTTGTCACGTGGACCACTTATACTCTCTTGTATCAGTATGATTTGCCATAGGCTGGGAACTCAGTCTTCATGTAACACCTTGTAAATTCTCAAAATATTGGACTTTGTTTTGTGCAATGTTCAAGATCTATTTTTCAAATGAGAGAAGTATTAATGCAAGAAATAACATAAGAGATGAACAGTTTCCAGTTTTGAATTTTTTAAGTTAATTGCATTTAACAGAGTAAATGTGTCTGAAAGTTTCATTGCATTCGTAATATGAAAAGACAACACAGGTTGACTCCCTTGTCTTGTGATCACAAGGTGTATGGTGATTTGAATGTGATAATAACATACCTTGAAATGTGATGGCATCATTGAAATCTCAAGGCCATGTTGACACATTAATTTAGTACCATACACCCGCCTACCTTTGGCATTCAGAGGTTGGTTCCACAAAGCTATCGAAGCCCTAAGGTTATCTTAACTCCAATACTTTGACACAGACGTACAACTGTTGTTGCGTTACGATCACCTTGTGGATCAGGCCCCTGCAACAATAAGTTAACAATCACATCACAAGACTCTGTAACGTAATTTGTGAAATTTTGTTGCAAGAAAAAACGGCTAAACAATCCTATGTGACGTCAGCCTAGCAACAGGGTTGCTGGGGTCATCGAGTTTGCATAAGCTCCTCATTGATCTATCATCTCAACGCAGTGTCGTTGAATTAGCCAAGGGATATTGAGAGTTTTCAATATTTGTCCGTGAAACTTGTTCCCGGACTTCATAAGCACCCGGTTTGGTATTAAACACATTGTAATACCAGCTTAGTTATTAAATGGGTGATCTCTTCATGGGCAAGTAAACTGCAATATAATAAGTGTGGTAGTGATATTTTAAACCATACAGGTGTATATATAGACTGCTTGACAATTTAACCTTACCCCCAAATTAGTATTTACGTCAATGTTTTGATGTCATACCTCAATTATGGAGGACAGTGTGATACACAGTAATATCCTAACCATCATGGAACTTCACTCAGATGTGTCGGTGGCCATGCTGGTCAGAGGTGGTATATATACTCCCCGCCAATAGAAATGTGAACCATAGAAACACAGAGAAGTACATGTATGTATAATAAGGAATGTTTCCAAAGTGTACCACTTAATGACAAAACTAATAATCAGTCAAGTGTTACCACAGTGTCTTTATTCTATCACGATATGCTGCACATGATTTTCAAACTTAACATGCTAATCCTGCACGAGACAAATGGTGCGTCTCGAGTCATGGCTTTATGATGTCACATGATGCGTTCATGAGCATCAATTCACACAACATACCAGTATGCTCATTTGTGTGTCAAACCAATCTAATATTTCTTGAATACGAGAAGTTCATATTTTAACCAACATGTATGGTATTCACGTTTCTTTTGCCAGTATATTTATGAAAGTTAGTTTATCAAGAATGGGAGACTCAAAACAGAACTTAAGCAGTCCATCCAGGCAAAATAATTCTTTGGCAACTTCCCTGGCATAGTTAGTTAAATATCTGTATATGGTGTAAAAAGGTTCCCTGTGAATACAGAGATGTGTGTTTGTGTGTGCAGGCACTCCAGGGACCGGCAAGACTACCCTGGGGTCTGAGGTGTCACAGAGGGTGGGCTTCAACTACATCAACGTCGGCGATGTTGCCAAGCAGCATGACTTGTATGATGGCTGGGATGACAAGTACCAGTGCCCAGTCTTGGATGAGGACAGGGTCTGTACGATGTTCAGCGACAGTACTTTTGTGATGCATATACCCTCTATATACATTCATGCTTGTGAAAAAGTACCAGGTTCTTGGTAGCTGAATTAAATGCGAGATCTGTGACTTTGTCCCTGCCCTTTTCGGGGTGGGGTGGGTGGGGGGACAATGTCTGAGGCACGCGATTTGCTGTGCAGAGTTTCATCCCTTGGGCAAGCCAGAAACCTATGATTGTGGGTTTGAATCCCGGGTCGCCCCGATTATGTTTCTAGGTTTGTCAGTACCATACCCGTGCTCGTGGATTTCACCAAAGTGGTAAACGTCTGAGACCTGCATCACTTCGGGGCCTTCCTCCCACATTAAGCTGACACACAGTGATATAACTGGAATACTGTTAAAAGCGGCATTAAACCCAACTCACTCACTCACTCACTGTCCTTTTCAAACCTTCAAGGCTAGTGTTAGCAGATTTCCTGACAGGCTGCCATCCTGTAGGTGTAATACAACTTGTGAAGATTTGGGGTAGAATAGGTCTTCAGCAACTCACGTTTGCCGTAAAAGGCATCTATGCTTGTCGTAAGAGGCGACTAATGAGTGAGTGAGTGAGTGGTCAGACTTACTGACTTGGTTGATGCATGTCATAGTATCCAAATTGTGTGGATCAATGTTTTTGATGTCAATCACTGGATTGTCTGGTCCAAATTTGATTATTTACAGACTGTCGTCATATAGCTGAAATATTGCTGATTGCGGCATTAAACAACAAACAAACATCAATGTATGAAGTCAGTGGTTGGTATCGCCTTGCATAATTTTGAAAGAGCAGTGCTGTAATTTGTGAAAATACATATCTTCTCACTCAATTGCTGACAATCTCTGAACTGACCTACTCACATCCTTGTCAGGTGATCGATGAACTGGAGGAGGTGATGTCATCAGGCAGGAATGTGGTGGACTATCATGGCTGCGACTTCTTCCCGGAACGCTGGTTTGATATTGTCATTGTACTGAGGACAAACAACCACGAACTGTACGAAAGACTGGAAAAAAGGTTTGTGAAATGATCTAAATAATGAAACATCAGTACAACTACTGGTAGACAGGACCATCAGCTGAATGTCCCCATGGGAGTTACTTCCCTTTGAACAAGCAGACAGTCATCACCTGTAGTGAAAGATGATCTTTTCTTTACAATATCTTCTGGGACACAAACATGCATCACAATTCTGTAATGTTAAAATACTTTGTTGTAAGATTAAAGTGATGTCAACATCTTTCCTTTTTCTCATTGGTTAAAAAGGAAACAGTTTGTTTCAAGGCTTCTAAGAAGGTTACTCTAATTCTAAATCATGTTTACTGTGCGCAATCCTGCGCAATATTGAGGATATATGTTTATGCGAGCTATATAATTTTGTATTTTCTTGTATGAATTAAACATGTAAGCATGGCGATGTTCTAGCATCATGCAATCACTTCTATAGTTTATGTATTCCCTGTGTATTGGGCAGTGTTAAAAATCATAAAACGCATTGTTTTTATTATCTACCTCCTTCCCTGTATTCTAAAGTTTCATTCATATTCACCATTAAATTAACCTGTTTCATTACATTAACCTGTTTCATTAAATTAACCTGTTTCATTAAATTTTATAAACATACCCCACTTTCTACAAAATTCAAAATCATTGAACAGGGGTATTTCTGTTCAAAAGAACTTTGTATTTCTTTTTTTATAAACATTTAATAACAGATATAAATAAGCATCGAAATTATGTCAGTTTACAGAAGCAGTAAATTCAATCCTGATGTAGTGTATAAAGGCATTCAACATGTAAACAAGTAATTTAGTATACAGTTCTGAAGTGCTTGTTGTTTCACATCTTTTTTGTGTGTGAGACATTGCATTAATTGTCCTGGAAGTACAAACAAGACACATAGATCTACAAAAAACCCTTCTTTAAAAATATCTGAAGTGACCATACAATAAAAGTAAACCAGATGAAAAACAATTTACCATTATTTATCAGAAATCTATGGCATATTGTTTCATGAAATGTCAAATAAAGACATGAAGTCATCACAAGTAGGAACAAGATTGTGTAGCTCACTGGCTACATTGTTTTGCATGTGAGTGTACAGATACATGCAAACTTCTAAGTCAAAAGATCTGTAAATGCAGAGCTCCAGATAAGCTGCATATCTGTGTAAATACGCATCAGAAATGCAGAAATACGCAGTAAAATAAAATCCAAGCGTATCAAATACGCAACGAACATTACAGATACGCTACAAAAATAAAACTGGTATGATCATCAAAATATTGTGAAGTAACCCTGCGTATTCGATTAGCAAATCAGCAACTTATTTTGAAATTATAAACGGGCATTCCGTCAACCTTGCCAAACTCCACGATGACAGTTACACCATGCTCATTTGCCATCACACTTTCTTGTGGAAGTATCGTGGTATTTTTTAGTCCTATAAAGCTCTCAAACCCACATGACACCAGTTTGCAGGGACTAGATGAACAGTGTTTTTAAATATTTAACTTAAATACCCACATGTGTAAAAACTAGTGGGTAACAGAAATTTGAATACCCAGATAGAATTACTGATACCCAATGATTTTAAAATGCATGGGTAAAATAACCACAACACCAAAAGCTTATCTGGGGCTCTGTAAATGTTTAAATAAACAGTGGACCCAAGCTCCCCTCCTTCATGCAAATAAACACACGTCTTTACCATGTCTTTACTGCACTTGACATATTGATAACCACTAAGTCCTTTTCTCATTTCCCCTACTATATTCATACAAGTTAAAGGACTAGGGCCCAATCTACAGTACATGCAAGCTACAAGATTGGAGAGAAGTTCCCCGAACTCGACCACCCTTTGTCCTTCCTCCCATCTGTCTCTGTTTGTGTATTTGCCAAGTTTTATATTGTGAAAAAGAGGACAAACCTCCTTGCAAGGTTTGCCAAAGCGAACATGGCCAACATCGGAATTATGATCAATTCGTTTGATTGATTTTACAATTTTTGGTGGATTTTTTGTCTGTTTCTTCTTGAATCCGTCACACCGGTCTGTGTCAGCCGCCATTTTGTCTACCTTACAGGGGATACCTCTAACTCAGTATTACGTCACTCAAACATTGCCGATTTCGGAAAGATTGGTGTTCCTCGAAGTTTTCACTGGAAGTTTCCCATTATGCAGGGAATACCTTAAATCACCCTATATGAGTATCAACTTGCTTGGTGTTATGCAAGTACCCCTTGCTTGGTGTTATGCAAGTACCCCTTGCTTGGTGTTATACAAGTACCCCTTGCTTGGTGTTATACAAGTACCCTTTGCTTGGTGTTATACAAGTACCCCTTGCTTGGTGTTATACCAGTACCTCATGTAGGCGTCTTCGAAACAAGGCTACTTAATATTTATAAAGGAAAGTTTTGTCACCGTGCAGCTTCTGTTTAGAGTTTGAAGTAGAAGAGAAGTTATAAGAGTTTTGTTAATTTTAAATTATTCCTTTTCAGAGGTTACAGTGGAAAGAAGTTGGAAGAGAATATTCAATGTGAAATTTTTCAAACCATCTTGGATGAGGCTCGTGAAGCCTACAAACCAGAGATTGTTCATGAGGTGCCCAGCAACACCCCTGATGAAATGGAAGATAATCTGGATAAGATATCAGCATGGGTTCAGGAGTGGAATATTTCCCACTAGCACACAGGGAGGCTGGCTGTGTGCTGGCTCCAACTTGTCAAATGTACTGCAGATATCTTGACAGACTCGAGACTTTTTTAGTCTGTCTGAAAACTAACATGCCGGATGGGATATGAAACCCATCTTGTTTCTTTGATATGGGCAGGTCCACTGCTTGACGGATTATCACCATGACCGGACTAGTCACTGTCCACCATGAGCTCAAGTTTTCAGCCCTCAGTTTTCACATCTCTGTATGGCAGCTACAAACATCACCATTTTGTCGGCTTGTCATTTGGAAGCCTAGAGGAAGTGATGTAGGCTAACTATTGTAGCAGTTACCACGACGATGTTGATGATGAAGTAATAACCATGATAACGTTATATGTGATTGTATGACCCCAGTGTGCTGATCATGTTGTCAGAAATCACTGCACAGAAGCTGCCGCTTCCTCTTGCTTCCTGCCTGCAATGAGAGGACGCCATGGAAGGATAAGGTGGCCAAAATGTCTGCTGTTTCTAGCAGAGGCAGTTAATGGGGGTAAGGTGGCCAAAATATCTGCTGACCCGTGACTGTGCTTGTCGTAAGAGGCGACCAACGGGGTCGGGTGATCAGGCTCGCTGACTTGGTTGATGCATGTCATCTATCCCAAATGCGTGGATCGATGCTCATGATCAATCACTGGATTGTCTGGTCAAGACTCGATTATTTACAGACCGCCGTCATAAAGCTGAAATATTGCTGAGTGCAGCATTAAACAACAAACAACAAAATGTCTGCTGTTACTAGCTGTTACTAGCAGAGGCAATTAATGGGGGATTATGTGGTCAATTGTCAACACATCATTACTTTATCTGCATATTTACCATGATGGTAGGCTTGCAGTGCTCTGGAGTGAAGTTTAGTGTCGGAGAGTGAAATGTACAAGCTGTTGATATAACGGGGAGAAGTATTTAGGAGTCTTGTATAAATCTTTATAGACTACCAGTATGCAACTCTTATATTGACTCCCTACAAGCATGTCGATGAGTATTTGTGATTATCTGACCACATTAGGGTTGGACTTTGTTGTTGTGGAAGCTACAGATGCTGGGTGTGGGTTGATGGTACCAGATAATCGGAGACACTGCTGGAGATTTGGCTTCTAGTAACTTTCAAGCTTTTCATTGTTTTCAGTTTCATCTGATAGAAGATACAAGAGAATACTGAAACATGATTAAGAGAGTGTATAATGGCATATTCCTTTCCCTTGTAGAATGAGCATGTTGTATGATTTGTTGTTCATGTTGACATAGTTCAAGTTTTATCATCTCAGAAACTGTGTCCAGGCTAGTGTTTGGACTGGTTTAAAGTTTGAATGAAGATTTACGCATTTCATTTGGAACAAAAGGACTTGATGTGATCAGGGCCTATTAGCCTTCTGGAAATCTCAAATTTTAAGGTTTTTGAAAACTTTGAAATATTTTTATGAAAATTATTGTGTAATTCTCATTTATGTTAACACCTCTGATAATTTTCATAATGATATCTATTTAAAAGATTTGGTCATTTCTTAAATTATGCTGATCTTGTCAGTCATAATGGATCCTTATGCTTTGTCCACACCTTGAATTCAAACAATATATTTTTTATTTGTTTTTCTCATACAAAGATCTTTCGAGAAGCCCATATTGGTATGTTGAGTGTGTTGTTGATTTGTGATGAAAAGTCCACATTAAGAAATAAATAGGATCAAAGTGGATATTTGCTGTTTTTCTGGGACCTACATGGAAATCTCCCTACAAGAAAGCACCTCTAACAAGCAGTGGGACTGGGGCATCCTAGTGGAGGAAGTATTCGCTGGGTAAGATAAGGCCTGGTTCAATTGCCCACATTGCTGGACCGTGGATGTCTGTCCAGTTAGCGGAAGGATGGGTGTTCAATCCCCAGCCACATCATACCTAAAGACGTTCAGAGATGGTACTTGTTAACCTGCATGACATTCGGCATAAGGGGCACAAGGACTGGTCAGCTCAGAGTCAGTATATTGTGTCTTGAGTGGGGTATTCATGTTAAACTGTGGCATGGTATCTCAGTGGGCTAGCACTATATAATGGCATTAGTCCGGACTAGTACAAGCAGCCACACATACTGCATGCCCCAGATTGGTATGTGTGAAGCCCATTTCTTGTGTCCCCCAGGGTGATATTGCTGGAATATTGCTGAAAGCAGAGTAAAACCCTACTCACTCACTCAACTATAAGATAAAGATGCAAGGAGCAGGTAGACAAAAAGCAAGTTCTATAACTTCTGGATAATGACTATTATCATATAATCGGTAGGTTTCTCGGCAGGATAAAGCCAACGGATCAAAACGATATCCGTTGGGGTCATATGCGGATAGAGATGCAAATATCAAAGGTCAAGTAGGGACTACTTTCACTGTTTATAAACAAACATGGCGTCGCCCTCGTCATTCGGCAATCGAGTTAGAATTAACCATCGGGAATCTGGATAAACTACAGGGATAATTGCTATCATTATCAAAAGAACAGTCTAATATACTGAAAATCAGTGTCTAACTGTGACGTAGCTAAGGCATTTTATAAGTTTTGGCAACTTTGGAGATATCAATTTCGAAACAATTTTGCGAGGGCACGAGGCCTAGCCAAGCGGGATCAGTAGCCATGACTGGTAGACCTCTGCGGCTTGAAACCTTCTCCACAAATTGAAATAGTTGGATTTGGCCGAAATATGTTTGAATTGTTACCTTGTTTCGTTTTGTCGCTCTGTGTACATCTGACTACACTTCTTAACGTTATGACAGGACAGACCGACTGTCAACAACGTCTGACCATGGCCGTGACGTCTCATAGACTAGGGTTAGAGTAGCTTCCCTTTGACAAAGGGCAGTTACTCTAGCGGACAGACCGATGGATTGCCGCGAAAGGCAATTAAAAACAATTGTTGTTTTGCGTATATGTTGCTTCGCCACTGTATAAGAAACAGACTTCAGTTGGAACTATATTGGCTACTGTCACTGTCCGACTGACACATCACTTACCCTGTGACGTAATAAATATTAATGCGCGCATTCCAGGAAAACTCGCAATGTTTCGGTAATGTTTGTGAGGGAAAGCGATTTTGAAGCGCAGAATTAAAGAATGACATTATATGATAAAGAGGTTATCACGCTTGTGTGTTTGGGGATGGTAAATATCCTGTATTAGGAATAAACACTATGTATTTAGCTCGCCAAGGCTCGCTAAATACAACGTTTATTCCTAATGCAGGATATTTACCATCCCCAAACACACTCGCGTGATAACCTCTATATATTCTATGAGAGCAGATTTTCTGCACTTTTTTTTTATCAAACATAGTTTATCCCCACTAGCCCATATATCAGGAATTGTTATGGGAAAGTCTGGCTGACAATCGGAGAATAACCAGTCTCAGGAATTCACTTGACAGAGTGTCCCTATTCATTTAGATTCTTAGAACATCCTAAGAATTTTGTGCCTGAAAAAACATTCGCTAATGTTTTTATTAAAGGGTACATTACTAAAAACATAAATTTGGAGCAGTCTTTAGTCAAGTCCAAAGAGTAACGCCAAGAGAAACTCGTAGAGGAATATTCTGGTATCCAGGGTAAATCCTCTGCTGTTTATATACATATTGGCACTATTTGACTTTGGAGGTAACATAATACGACATTATTTTCAGTGATCCATTCATGCAATTATCTCTCTGTTTTGTATTTTGTGCCCAATAAAATCTGTTCGGGCGCATGCTCCAGACTGGTTATTCTCTGGGGTTGTTTCATATACCATACTGAACGTTTAACAGGGATATATTTATTGTCTTTCCATCATACACAAAACTGATTCTCATAATATGTCAAGTGTATATTTACATAGAATGGCATATCTGATTACCCCTTTCAAAAGTTATGCAATATTGAGAAACTGTCATGGATGTGAGAGGGGCGTCATGGACAATGGACGACGTCAGATCTAAATGATTCGTCATAATGCCTCAACAGAATGATAAACTTGGAGAATGTGCGTACGGTGTCAAACAAGAACATATGTTAAGCGTCAGCAGGTCGGTATGTGGACAATGTGATTAACAGTTCAAAACATGTTGTTTATGCCTATTTTACACTGTTGGATGATTTTATGAAACTGGAAAGAGGACAACTATTACTAACAATGAAAAGTGCAATATTCAAGGTGAAAGGAAGAACTACCCTAAACACACGCCTGAACGCAACCAGTGGTTGAGCCCATGCACGTGCAATACATGCCAAGTAACAGTCAATGTGGGTATAAAATGGTTCGTTCCAGATGCAACCGGATTGCATTCTTGGATGTTGAAAATGCGACGTGTTTTGAATACTTTTATCTCTTACTATCTGCGTGACCCGTCAATAATGACGCTGAGTAGATGTAGACGAGAGACGCAGAGCTCCATGATATATGAACACACTAACAGAATACACGACTCTGAATTACGGGTGTTATCCGCTCCTTCAGAATTATTGTTGAAAATCCCTCTCTCAAGTCGCAACATTTTAATGCAAGAGGAACAGGTAATCCATAATTCCTAGTAAGTTGTCTCTATTCTTCTTTGGTTCAGCACTTTGGGCTATGCTCCGACATACAGTTGACGACCCGTGAAGATCCGGGTTGGAATAGCAACCCATGCTTGTCGTAAGAAGCGACTAACGGGATCAGGTGGCCAGGCTCGCTGACTTGGTTGATGCATGTCATCGTATCACAATTGCGTAGATCGATGCTCATGATGTCAATTACTGGATTGTCTGGCCAAGACTCGATTATTTACAGACCGCCTTCATATAGCTGGATTATTGCTGAGTGCAGCGTTAAACAACCAACAAACAAATAAATATACAGTTGACACGCAGTGAAATATTCCTTAAAAAGGCGTTAATCCTATCCCACTGACAATTTGACAAATATGATTATTAATACAAGCAGGTGTTTTCTAGAGAACACGAGACAAAGAAACGGAATTGTCTTGACGTGAAGGGTATGGTTTTACGTAACGAGCTGTTGGCCCTGTTCCACGACCCCAGGCTCCACACACTGTTCGATGTGGTCGAATTGATTGCCTGTTACCTCGTGATTGACAATTCAATGTCTTTTTCTGTCTTTGCTTGCAATCAGTAAGTTTTGGAGAAACAAGTATTTTTTCAGGACATCTTATGACAATTAAAGTTTTTAGGTAAAACACATCACTCTCCCAGAACATTTCATGGTCGGCCTCTTAGTAACTGGCGATAACCATACTGTTTTTCCAAAGTAGAGCTTGGTTTCCTGAAGATTTAACATCGCTAAATGGAATTTTTCAAACCGAACGCGCAGCGTGAGGTTTCAAGTTTTATATTTAGAAATCGAGTAATTTCCAAATTCACGGTAGAATCTTTATTTCAAATCCATGGTAGAATATGTATTCTACCATAAATTTGGAAATTACTCGATTTCCAAATTGAACATTTGAAACCTCACGCTGCGCGTTCGGTTTCAAATTCAGTTTAAGCGTTTAAATCTACAGGTAACCCAGCTGTATATTGATAACACAGTATGCTTATCTTCTACATAAAGGGTTATTTTCAGCTTGACGTCCGAGTTGCGTACTTGGGCACGCCAGAAACCTATGATTGTGGGTTCGAATCCCGGTTCGGCCCGATTATGTTTCTAGGTTTGCCAGTACCATACCCGTGCTCGTGGGTTTTACTGAAGTGGTAAACGTCTGAGACCTGCAACACTTCAGGCTTTCCTCCAACATTAAGCTGACACGCCGTGATATAACTGGAATACTGTTAAAAGCGGCGTTAAACCCAACTCACTCACTCAGCTTGACGTTTTACAGTCTTGAAGGAAATAACGTGTGTTTTCTGTTGCCGAACACCGTAGGCTATTTGATGAAGTCGTACAAAGTAGGGGTCGTTGCAAATGTAAATTTAGGAAGAGGTCGTAGACTGAATGAAAAGATGTTTGACAACAGTGTGCTGTACGGGAGCAAGATGACAAAGACTTATCATAGATCATGGAGGAACAAGAAAAACAATCCTCGTATGACATCAGTTGACACCAAAATGTGTTTGGAGACGGGCCCTGCTGTCCACCCTATCATGTGACAGACAAAAAGACACGTGTGGAAATATTTACCGCTTTGGACTAGTGTTTATCTTGATGTAAAACATATCTCCTTCTGACGCTATCAAAAGTACTTTCTGACCGCGCATGTGCAGTCGGTTCCTCAAATAGCCGAGGACCGCCCCCGTGGTCTAGTGGTAGGGCGTCAACCCGGAGACGGTAGGTCCGGTGTTCGAATCCCGGCCGCGTCATACCAAAAGACGTTAAGAGACGTACTTGTTGTTACGTGTAGTACTTGTAGGTTATGTGTCCGACAGTGTGTCGAACACGAAGTACATTTCCTCACAGAATGTGAATACTACTCTGATCTACGATATGACTATTCTCATTTGTTTCCTCCAATACATACTTGTCTAAGAAGTTTAACCCCAGAAGACCAATTTATATATGTTATGCAGAATAATACTCTAGCTATTCCCCTAGCCGCAGTTGTTACTGCTATGTATAAAAGAAGAAAAATTCAACTTGCATTGTTAATAGTGCACTTGTGATCCATAAGTAATTGTTACTCTTCCTTATAGGATTTAACCACATGTTTATACAAGTCTAAATATATTTTGTTTTAATGGTATTCTTC